CTCTGGATCGTTCAACTGTAGGCAAGTGGTGGGTGGGTTGTGAGTGGGGTGGGTTGTGTGGGTTGTTGGGGGCCTCTGTGAGGCTGTAAATTGTTTTTTTTAAGATAGTCCTCCTGGAGCAGAATTGGAGAGACAACAATTGCTTTTCCCCCTTGAAAATTCATTCCTTAAACTTGATACGTGATGTGAATACCTGGTAGCCTCTCAGTGAATGCAAAGTAATTTGAACAATTGATCTGAAATCCTCCTGGCCAGATATTAAATAGATCTTCAGAGAAGCTTGTTCCTAGAAATCAGTATATGATATGAATGCCTGGTAGCCTCCTATAGAATGAAATGTAATTTCTAAAAAGAATTAAGCTTTTATATTTTGACATATGATATGACTACCTAAGGCCCTTCCTGTAAATGAAATATGATTCTAGTAGACTTTTAAAAAAAGTTTAGCTTTTGATCTAGATGCATGATATGAGTATCTAATGGCCTTTGTATGATTAAAGAGTGGTTCTGATAGAAACTTAGAGACAAGAATAATAGGTTGAACTAAATATGTAATATGAGTACCTGATGGCCTTTCACCAGCTGAAAAGTGCTTGAGCATGGTAGAATGAGTTGAATGAGATCTCCTTGGAAAACTCAGCTTCTGGACTGAATTATACAGTTTGAATGGTTGGGTGACCTCCTTGTTCTTTGATCAGGCATAATACTAAATGTACTTAGGATTAATATGTAAGATGAATTTGTAGTAAGAGAGGGTATTTTAGAGTATTGGGCTAGAGCACTGAATTGAAGAGAGGAACTAAGGGTTTGATGTAAAGTGAAACACATTTGCTTGGCTGCTTTTGAGGATGGACAGAATGAGAGATACTAACAGATAGCTCCAAGATATAAGCATTAGATAGGAACAAATCAATCCATTGAACCTTCTCTCTGTATTGAATGTATTACATCACACTGTCATGATTTGGCACAACTTAAGCAGTCATTGTTTTAGCCATGCATGATGACTAAGCAGATGGGTTTTAAGCTGACCAACTTTCTGACATGTAAGAGGCTGACAGGCAACCGAAGGATTGACGCGCGCAAGTAACGATCCAGAGAACTCCAATCATTCAACTGTAGGCAAGGACATTGCGACAAGCTCCTGCTCGATGGACATAGCCTAGGCACGTACTTAAAGAACGGAAGTCCACCAGTGCAGGAGATGAGAGGCAAATTTCATTTCTCTTGCTGGTCGAGAACTCATCACGCATCACTGATTCATTTATTGATTGACTCCCGAAGAGGCTAGGCTGCTGCGGTTTATGCAAGATCCGAAATTAGCGTTTGGAGTTGTCACTGGTGACGAACATCGCAAATCATCACAGACTTTGCGCCCCGTTGTGTGACGTATGTTGCCGTGATCTGCCCAGAGACAAGGCCGAAGCTCTTTTTTCCGGTTGCTCCCCCATTACTCTCACGCCACAACCGACTTCAGTCATCCACTTCCACCTCTATCACTACCGGCAATCCAATTCCTACACAAACATCCGCAAATACTCTCCTGTGCTGGTTGCTTTCAAAACAAATTAATACATCCTGTTGCTACAAATTCTGCGCAAAGGAAACAAACAAAACAACAGACACGATGGTTTCCAAGGTAGTTGATATCGGCCTTCGAGGCTTACAAGTATGCAAAACCTCTTCATTACAGCACCTGGAATCGGGTTTCTGACAGCGTTGCAGTTCCTGTGGACTCTACTGGTCATGGCGCTGGTCGGCAATATCATCGCCGATGCCACCAGCGGCAACCCATCTATCATCAACTACGATATGTTTGTCGCAGTCTTCGCAATGCTGTCAATCATCTTCTTGCTTGCAAGCGCATTCACTGGAGTCATGTCCGGCACACCAATTCCACTTGCACTTGATATCCTGAACACGCTCTTCTTCTTCTGCGGTGCCGTCGCAATGTCTGCTCAGCTTGGCGTACACAGCTGCAGCAATGAAGTCAGTTGCATCTTAACTTCCCGTCTTCCCTTCAAGATTCGAGGGCTAACCACACTCCACTCTAGGGCTACGTCAACAGCAACGGTATTACCAACGGCTCAGACAACAGACCAAAGCGCTGCCGAGAATCACAAGCCACAACCGCGTTCATGTGGTTCGCCTTCATAACCTTTGCTGCCTCATGCTTCTTCTCCGCCATGAATGCACGAGCCGGAGGCGTCAACCTCAGAGGCCACGGCATACGCAAAGGTGGGCCCAGCATGTCCCAGGTCTAAACAGCCGCAGACGAGGCCGCATTTCCCCGTCGTTCCTCTACCTCTTCCTTCTTTCAGGTACCTAAGGCCCTTGTAGCTGGACCCAGGGCTGACGGATGTTGTTTTTGATCTGTAGTCGGTCTCGGACATGTATGAATTGACGACAATACTGGCGAGGGAGGTGCAAACCAAGCGAACATAATGGCAGTAGTTACTTTGTGGGAAAGCGAAGGGCGGAAGGGCATGTATAGGGTGTTGGAATTGGAGCAACTTCTGGATTCTTCCTCAGCGCTGTTGTTTCTAGGCTAGAAAAGGTTTTCAATACCATGTACGACCATGATCGTCTTGAGCTGAACCAAACTCACCTGACTTTCATATCCATGACTGTGTACCCGTCATCTCCCTACCTCCCTCCCTACCTGCTTGTTTATATGTCACTCTGTCCACCGATCCTCCCCCCTCCTTCCAACACCAACCCCCTACCTACCTTTTTTTCCGCAAGAAGCCTTCAATCTCTCCACGTCAAACATTACCTTCCAACCCCAAGATCTCTCCCAGACGCCAACACGGACGCATGTCACGGCGCAAGTACCTATCCTTTGGGCTCTCCGAGTCCGATACGAGGATGATAACCAGAAAGTCACGTCTTACACACTGCTCACTCGGATACAAGTCCAGGATTCTCAGCTGCGGATCGCGCGTCAGATGGGACTTCTATGCAAGAAAGAGCATGGCGCTCTCTCTGTCAGAGGAGCTAGCCTAGCGAAGGAGGGAGGGAGAGAGGAAGGATGAACGGGCACGATACGACTCCTCTAGCTACGTGTCGTTGTCAAGCTCTACCTTTTTTCCGGCGCAGGTTTAGTACAGGTGCGGAGGCAAGAAGGTAGGTCGGAAACATGGCTTCTCTATTCTGAAAGGAGGAGAGAAGAGAAGAGGAGGACAGAAGACGCGGGCAGACTTGAGCGTGTGAGAGACAGACCCGGTGATACTACTTCTTACTAGTTTAATTTGAATCCAGAATTGCTCCTTCACTACTGATTGGAACGTCCATCCAATCCTAAGCTCCTGTCCCAACACCAAAACGCCTTGCTTGGTCAAAATGGTGCACTAAGCAGCAGTCATAGATTACGGCTCTACAGCGAGCGATCAATACCCAACACTACTTACTTACTTGTACGCTTGGCTTTCTTGCCCTCTACCTCACCTCTCATCCTCTTCAAACCCTCGCCCAACTTCCGAACGCCCCTCCACTCCCGCTCTAAGCGCTTCATCCTGTTCGCCGCGACCACCACAAAGACCGCAGCCCTCAGCCTCTGCCGGACAGCTAGTCTGGATTCATAGTCCTCCCTCTTAGGCTTGACGCCCATCTGGGCGATCATGCGGAGATCGGCTTGGTTACTAGAAATTATATCACAGTCAGCATTTGCCCACAAATGCAAGCCCGCAAAGGGAACAGCTGTGCGAAAGGGGAAAAAACATACCAAGCCTCTCTGATCCCCTCTCCCATCTCCATGAAGCCTTTGCTCCAGGCCAAATCCCTACGAAAGCCTTCTTCCCTCCTACACCGTGCTCTTAGCCAAACCACCTCCTTCATCAATCCCCTCAACTCTTTCTCCCTCGTCGTCGCGCTTCCACCTCCTTGACCATGCTGGGCTTGCTGCACTTTATCCAGCACACTCTCATGCCTCTCCTGTGGCGCATCGAGTTCTCTACCTGCAGCTTCAGCTCTCGCTTTCGCCCTTTCCCGCTCGTTCCTGACACGGCGGAGCTGCGCTTTCAGATCGCTGATTCTGGTGTCGCGGTCCGAGAGTTTGAGGGACAGGGCTTCTGCTTCTAGGGTGGAGGATTTCAGGAGGGCGTGCAGGTCTGCGCGTTCGGATTCGTGGACCGAGATTTTGGAGGCTTGTCGCTCTAATTCGCGGTTCTTGGTGCGCAGGTCGGAAAGAGTGGTTTGCGCGTCTAGAAGGTCTTTGCGGGCCTTGGCGAGATCTTTTTGGAGGGAAGGGGATGAATATGGAGAAGGGGATTTGGTAGAGGTGGTGAGTTTGGCTATTTGGAGGTCGTGGAGTTCGCGTTCGAGGTTTGCGACTTGTGATCGTAAGTCCCGGGTGGTGGATTTGAGGACGCTTTCGCGTTGCAGAGATTCTGACTCCTTTTTGCGTGCTTCGGCTAGGTCGTGTTGTAGCAGGGAGGCGTCTTCGATGCCAGACGGAGGCATATTCTTTGTCTGACTGTCGAGAAGTTCTTCGAGTTCTGCGACTCGCTTTTCGAGGCGTTGGACTTTGTTCTTCGCCGACGTCAATTCTCGATCACGGTTCTCCGACGTCGAGAGCTGTTTATTGCGCAGCTGGTCGAGCTCGAGGCTGAGGCGGTTCTCCTCAGCATTTGCTCTGTCTATTTCAGCATTGATTTCTTGCTCGAGAGCAACGTTGGCATCCTGCAGGTTGTCTCGCTCGAGCCGCAGCCTTTCTAGATCGTTTTCAAGTTTCTGCTTCGATCGACGAAGCTCGCGCTTCTCTTGATCGATGTTGAATGTATCATCAGCCGGCTTGTCTGCTTTTATGAGCTTGGCTTCGAGGTCGTCTCGTTCAGCCCGGACATCCTTCGCTGTTTTCTTGAGCTCATGCAGTTCAATGTTGATGTTTGCTAGTTGGTCTTGGAGACCTTGCTTCTCCTTTTTGAGTTTCTGGAGCTGACTGTCAGCACTTTCCAGGCTCTTGGTGCGCTGCTCTTCAGCATATTCAGCTTCCTCTTCAAGGTTGGCTTGTAGAACCTCAACTTCTTCCTCAAGCTGTTCAACCTTCTCTTTCAACGCCTCCTGCTCGCGTATGGAGATACGCAACTCTTCTTTAGCGTTGTTGAGTTCAGTCCTCTGTTCGTCCGAAGCCATTCTTTTGGCCGCAATATCATCGTTCAGCTCCTGGATCTGGCGGTGCAGTACCTGCTCTTCTTGCCTGTGTCTTTGCTTCTCACTTTCAAGTGCTTCTTGCAGCTTCATCTCTCGTCCCGAGAGAGTTCCTTCGACTTCTTGCAGCTTGTTCACCGTGCGTTGTAAGCCGTTCGCTTTCTCTTCGGCTCTCTGGCTGGCAGCTTCCAGTACACGTCTCTGAGCTTCCCAGTCCTCGTGATCAGAAGCCAGTTGGCTCTCTTTGGCATTAATCTCACGGTGTAGACTGTCAACTTGCTCAGTGAGCAGATCGATTTCTGTTTTATGTTGAGACCGCAGATGATGGTCATTTTGAGCTGCGTGCTGACGCTCTTCGTCAAGAGCCTGCTCGAGCTCTTCGACGGACCGCTGGGATCTCGACAAGTCGCGCTGCAAATTGGCAGATTCCAAGGTGAGTGCATCATGTCGTGTCTGAAGGAGGTCTTTCTCTTCCGATTTGCTTTGGAAGTTATTGATAGAATTCTGCAGCTTGGTAGACATAGTTCCAAGATCACGCTTTAGATTATCTTTCTCTTGATGTGCAAGATGCAATTGATCTCGAAGCTTGTCTTTGCCGGCTCCTTCCTTTTCGGCGCCCCGAAGTCGCTCCTGCAGCACTCGCTCATTTCGCGTCTTCTCATTCAATTCCTGCTGTAGAATACTGTGTTTCTCCTGCAGCTCGTCCAATTGATCTTCCAGTCTGGCAGTCTTTTCTTCTAGCTGTCTGCTGAGACCCTTCGTCGTGAATGATTTGTTCATCATTTCATCCCTGAGCTCTTCTAAATTGTCTTCGGCTTGCTTCTTCTCCTGTACGGCATCTTCACGCTCTTCCCGCGCATGTTTGGCCTCCTCAGCCGCTCGATCCAGATCCTCCTGGAGCTCTTCGATCTGTCGTTTGGCGGTCTCTAACTCTTCTTCAGTCTCAGCGGCAGCGTTGGATTCTTTGCCAGCGTTGTCCTTCAAGGACTCGATCTCATCTTCCCTTTCTTCAATCATCCTGTCTTTCTCGCGCAGCTCTGCCTCCAGGTCGCCCATTTCACAGCGCAATTTCTTGGCCTCCTCATTGCCCTGCTGCGCCGAGCGCAGTTCGTTTTGAAGCTTCGTTATCTCCGTCTCTTTCGTCGCCAATTCAGACTGTAGTTGTGCAGTCTCGACTCGCAAGCTCTCGTCTGCCTGCTTCCTCTTCATGCGCTCTCGGTATTCCTCAAGCTGCAACCTATAGACCTCTGCATCTCGTTCGGCCTGGGCAATATTCTTTTTGAACTTGTGAAGCTCCCGCTGCATGGTTATGCGATTCACTTTCAGATCTGTGTTTTCTCGCAATGCGGCTTTGTTGAACTCCGTTCCTCGCTGCGACATAGCTTGCTCAAGGAAATGGATCTTCATTTTCAAGCCAAAGTTCTCCTTTTCGATTTTATCGATGATCTGGTTCAGCTATCAGCATGCTGTCAAGGAAGTCTCTTGCGCACCTTGACTAACATTCTCTTGCTCTCGTAGAGTCATCATGTTGCCATCCCCAACAACACCTCCCCCACCATTCCGACCTGGTAATTGCGCCAGTGGTGTACTTTGTGCACTGCTGCTGGTGACAGCCTGAGGCAATGGCGTTTCGTTGGAAGCTTCACCAGCGGAACTGCTCGTTCTCTCCTCGTATATACGTGAATCGTCCCCCATCCGCGGCAGACCGGGCGTAGGTCCATTATTGATTGAATTATCCCTCATGAATGAGGGCGTTTGTGCACCCGTCTTTCTGCCTGAGGCTCTTCGCATATGGTTCTTTTTCGTCACACTCATCATAAGCGGCGTGAACTCGCTCTTTTTACCCGCCCCATTGGGAAGTAGTCGTAATGGATCACGAGCACCAGCGCGTGGTGTCTTGAGGCTGAGACCTCGCCCATTTCGTATGCCTTGAATCAGATCTCGTCCTTTTGATGGTGACGCGAAGGACTTTTCTGGTGATAGATCGTCAAGACCATCCAAACCATTGGTCAAGGATGATTTGTCTGCGGCTGTTTGCGGCGTGTCGATGTAGTCAGGATGAGGCATACTGGGTAATCCGCTGGTGGAACAACGTGACTTCTAACCCATAAAATATTTGATACGCCTCCCAGAGCAGTGTCAACATAAATATACAAACATACTAGGGAATGGATATGTTCTCCAAATCAGATGTTGATGTACTTCCTCACTCGGATTAGCTGCGGATAACTAGCTGAGGACCCTGCAGCCGAATTAGCGTCTTGGCGTCCGTTTTTCTCCAATGTCACATTCTATCATGATTACTATCATTAATTGATATTGGTCTGGAAATTCGTTCCCAAACCGATAATAGTCATCATGCCTCCAACTGAAGAAGATTTAGCGTGGTTCCGATCAACATTTCATCCCGTACCCAAACCTCGGTTGCCCGAGGACTGTGTTGAATACTATCTATTTGTCTTCAACTCTAACATCGACACTGGTAACGATTCGGAGATCCGGTTACGACTGCGAGAAGTCCAAAAGTTTGCGGCAGGGCTACAGGAAGAATGGTTGAAGAACTACATCTGGCAGAGGCAAGGTTTTGGGCTGGAAATGGTCTCAGAGGATGGTGAGGTTGGTGTCTTCGACAATATGGACGGCCAAGAATGGACTGACAGGTGGTCTTGGTAGGTGTGACACTGCTGCGAGGAAGAACCGAATACGGTGATTCGGTAGAGGATGAATGGGTCATTGTCTGGCTTCTTCGCAGATTGACAAGAAAGTTCGAGGATCTCTGGGTCAAGGTCAACGACAGTGATGGGGAGTTCTTATTGATCGAAGCTGCGGGGACTCTGCCTGAATGGCTGGAGCCCGAAGTAGCTGAAAATAGAGTGGGTCTCCTCTGTCTCTGATATGGCACACAGCGCTGATGGTACTCCCAGGTGTGGATTCATCGTGGCAACCTGGCCATCATCAAGCCACAAAAGATCAAGTCAATGAGGCAAAATGACGAGAATATATCACTGCAAGAAGCTCGGAGAATCGTTCTTGAAGACCCAAAACGTCTACTAAAATCTACTAGCATAGAGGAAGAGGCCTTCTACAGACTTAGGAATTATCCACAGCAGATAGCAGAGAATATGCACAACGCATTGGTGACAATCCCCCGAAAGATCGCGTTTCTGTTGCACCAGAAGCCAGCTTATATCTCATCTGCGATTGAGGCCTTCTACTTGCGGGATCCAATCGCTCTGAAACCCCTGCAGGCACAGGGTACATCCTCCCTTACCTTCCAACCTGAGGATCTGGTCACTGTTAGTGTCCGATTTCCCCGAGTGGGCTTCGCTCAGTTGAGGAGTCAAGACTTTCAAGTGCCAGCAACATGGCGTACAAGCCTACCTCCAAAAAGCGACGCGAAGGGGTACAGTCAAGCTGAGCTTGGTATGAAACTCTCATGTGGTTTTGAAATGCTGTTATCAGACCCTCAAAACCAAGATCGATCTGCTGTGCGCGAGATGAAAATGTTGCTCGAGGATCTGGGAACTGGTGACGAAAAGTTACCAACAAGTCCAGATATTGCGCAATGGCCGCGTCAAGAAGACGATGAAAAGTGGCTTGACATTAGCTTTGAAGATCTTGAGGGTGAGCTAGGTGGGAAAGACAAGGCTCAAGGCAAGAAGAGAGGTGATTTCGGTGATAAAGCCGCCCAAGAGAATCTACAACGAATTGTGGCTCAGTTTGAACAATTCTTGAATGATGACACAGCGGGACCTGATGGAGCTGGTCTTTTTGACGAGGATTCTGATAATACTGACGAAGTTGACTCCGACAACGAGATGGAAAATGATGGCGAAGACAAGGAAGCCTCTTTTGACGAAGAACGATTTGCGAAAATGATGCGAGAAATGATGGGTATGCCAACGGATATGGAAGTGGGTGGGAGTGGTTCTACTCCGGAAAGGAGCATTCCTGCTGGTGGATCTGGTAGGATTCAGGAGCTCGATTCGGACGATGAAGACGACAACGGAGACATTCAGTTGGTGATGCAGCGAATAGAAGCAGAGTTGAACGAGTCCGGAGCACTGAACCTTGATCCAACTCCAAGAAAGATTGGAGCCACGAAACGGGCTATGAGAAGTAAAGATTCTACGAAGAGCAAGCAGCTCGAGCTCAGTGATGAGTCTGATGATGCTGATGAAGAGAACGACGTGGATGTCAATCTGGCCCGAAATCTTCTTGAGAGCTTGAAATCTCAAGGCGGTACCTCGGGACCTGGAGGTAATCTGATTGGCTTGATGGGACTGAAAACGCCAAGAGAAGAGCAAGATGAGCAGGAATGACTTGATGAGCAATTGATGGGGATGGCTTGATACTAATGCGAACCTTCTGACCAACGTCAGCATTCAAGGCTGCTTCTTAAGCCTGGCCTCGCGCTATGGCGTGCAGTCCAGAGTACGGAGGCCTACGGTATAGCCACGAATTGCAGCGTAAACTCGAGATAAGGGATAGGGATGTCGCAAGGACTCTTTCGAAAGGAAGTCATGTAGGCTATGGGTTTTGGATTGATCATGGGCATCGCAATTTCGGTAGGGAAAACCCGCACCAGCTCGTACAAGATGGCCATTCACCATAACTGATGTGTTCCTCAATGCTCGAAGCGTCGTCTACAAACACAATTTCCACGGGCCCACTAGCGGTGTTGCCAGCAATTGTGTTTATGCGTTGCGGTGTTGACCAAATCTGTGTGTACCCAGTCTTCTACCTGCCCTGTTCTTGTTCTGGATTTGTTTTGCCATCATTTGACTTCTTGCGCCACGGCCATGATACACTTTGCATAAGTGCACAACAGTTCTTGTCATCAAACAGCCGAATCGGCTAGGATGGGGATCACAAGAGGGACACTTGAGGGAGCGGCGAGACCACATTTCAATCCAAACACTCTTTCCCACCGCGAGCTTCTGAAGCCGGGACCCAAGGTGCAAAAGCTGAGAATCAGATTTTCGCCATATCAAGAGCTTGCTCGTGTGTCCCTTAAGAGAAAAAGAACAGCTAACTCGTCACCAGCGTATCCCTCCTTGTATTCAACTCAAGAAGGGGACCAGCTGAGCGCACAAACAGAGGAAACCCAGCCAACCAAGAAATTGAAGGTGATACAGCATCATTTTTCGAAGGGTGAGCCTGTCGAAGAGCAATTCAACACATTTCAAGAGAATTTCGTAAATGAAGAAACAATCGCAGTTGACGATGGCATGCCAAATGGCAAAGACAAGGGCGGTCTCAGGGCTAACTCAACCCATCAGACATACCAGGCTCGCTCGGGAAGACGGAAACCAGCAAGACGCCTGTATAGGGAGAAAGAGTGCACCTATCCATATGAATCCAACGGCGGGGAACAGTTGAGCGGTCGTGTACTGAGGCCTCGAACAAAGCCAAAGTACTATCCTGACGATGAGGCGTCTGATTGCACATCCGATGAACACACTGCGGCTACTGTCAACACTGTAGACAATCAAGCTTCAAATGAAAGTGAAGGAGTGTATTCACATCAGCTTTATACCGGTCTTGCTTGCGAGTATTCTGGCTGTCATGCCAAGGCTGATTCTCTGAATGTTGCCTCTGTCTCAGTCCCCGGTGACAGCGAAAACAAGAATGTGGGAGTCGATACAGTCTGCCGAAACTGGTCGCTGGGCTGTGATTATCCGACAGGGTTCGAGATCACAAACAGTGATCAACAAGCTTCAATGAACCATCAAGTAACTGTTGACCAGGCTCGAGCAGCATTCGAGTGGCAGCAAACTCCATTAATGAATATACGCGAGATGATCACAGGTATCTGTCAGGATATTGATAACCTTGCCGAGGGTCCCGAAATTGCTGGTTGTGAAGTCGTCAACGACACCGGTCCTGCAATTCACCGCGGTGGCCAGGGTGAAGCTTTTGCAGAGATCTGTGCAGCCCCAACATCCACCTCTCCCAGAGTGTCCCATATCGCCAACGGCCAAGTCTGGGAATCACAAGCAACTCGTAAAGAGCGCGCGCGTCAGGAACTCGAAGCCGCTAGACCCAGCGCTTGTCCTACTACTACTGCTGCTACCACGGGCACTTCCAGCAACGCCATCGATCCATCCTTATCAGCATACAACAACGACAACAATAACAATAGCTTTCATCTCGACGGCGCGGCCTCCTCAACACCGAATTTCACCCCAACAGCCAACACCTTCCCCGTCCCTATCGGACCCAATGCCACCACAGCCACCAACCCAACCCCTAACCGCTTCCAAAACCAAGACACCCACTGCCTCATCTGCCTGCTCCCCGTCACGCCCTCCGACATCCTAGTCTCAGACCTCCGCTGCGTCGCCTGCCCGCGCACATTCCATCAATCCTGCCTCACCTACATCCCACCGCGCATCAACCAGAACTGGCGCTGCAGCCTCTGTTACCGCGAGGCGTGGCATGGGTATGGGCATCTGGCTAGAGAGCTAGAAACGAGGGATCCCGGGCTGGTGGAGAGGTATCGGAGAAGACTGTTGCTTGCGAATACGTATGGAGGTGCGGTGTCGATGAACGCTGGGCTTGGGCAAGGTGGCGGTCGGGATGAAGAGAATGTGAGGTTTTGGTTCGATGTCGATATGGATGGTGGGGCGGAGAGTGATCAGGCGGTGCTGGTGAGGATGGGGTTGGTGGATATGCGGATGTTGAGGGTTCTGAGTGATGGGGATACAAGTGCGAGGGTCAGGAGTCTAGAGGAGACGGAGAGGTGGGGTATTGCATTGGGCATGGCGTTGCAGGAGGAGGAGGGGAAGGTTCAGGAGTTGAGGGGAGAGCTGGAGAGGTTAAGAAACGTGGTTGAGCAGAAGGATAGAGAGATTGAGGAGTTGGAGGGTGGACTGTGAGAGGCTACGATTGGATTTGCAGTGGAGGGTGACACTGGGAAGAGCTATGGGTGAGTGAGTGCGTGAGTGACGCAAAAACTCCGAACGCCGCTTCTTGGTGTGACTGTGCAAGCTTGTTGGCCAACTTGAGAAGAAGAAGAAGTTTGTTTTTCATTGGATGAGTCGTTGGCTGTCCATCTGGAAACCATCCTGTTCTCAATGAAGTTCTTGGGTGTTTGTTTATGTGGGGAGTACCGTCTCGAAAGAGCATGCTAGAGAGAGATTCACAACAAATGCCTCAGAATAGAAGAGTTCTTCTTGGAGCAATTGAAGACATGCATACAGAAGCTTTTCTCCTTGGGGTCCATCAAAGGTGCTGTAAGTGGGGCGATGGATATGTTTGCATCGAAGCTGAAAGTCTCGCCTGAGAAGGCGTCGTAGTGGTGATGACCTCAGCTACGGCGAGCTCCACGGCGAGCTCCACGGCGAGCTATCTTCGGAAGTCCTCGCCTCTTGTTCTAGCTCAATAGAACTATCTACATCCAGAAACGTCAATATCGCTTTCCCCACAGAGTTAGGAGAGGGGAGAGCACCTGATTACGCACCCGGCTGCCACCTGGCTGACATGATATCTCTCCATCATTCGATACTTGGTAGATCCCGTAGAGTGACAGCGACCTGTTTCTTGCACGAGCTTCTTCAAACAATGGTAACGCCGCAGCTTTGGTTCGAGCAAGTCCAGCCACCGCGCAGACCAAGCTGGATGTTTGACCTCGTTGCACACATAACTCGAACTTCTCGCTCCAGGCGTGCGCCCCTCTCATCTTACCCCTGCGACTCATCGAACCACGGCACAACTAACCACGGCACGACCAACAGCGACACGCCGAACAAGATGAAACTTCATCAGATAATAAATCCAAGATCCAGGAGAAAAATTGATGTCGATGTTTCAGATATCTTCTTGTTATCTCTGTTGATGTTGGTACGCTTTTACGGCGTTATGAGACCTTCCACGTTGTGATGAAGATGGGTTTTGACAAGGCTGAAGTTGAGTGGTTGGGATTTTCTTGACAGGCGAGACTCGTGTCAAGAAAGTCATGGCCGGTTATACCAAAATGCTCAAATGGCTTCCATCAACTCTAAATAGCAGCCCGACTGCTCAAATCCAATCGCTTCGATCTCTAACCTACATGGGGCCATTTACAAGCCATATGTAATATATCTCATGAAGAGTAGCTTCTGAGCTTAAGTTGTGAAGATCGGCTATGATCTGCCATGGCATAGCCGGCCACGACTTCTCGACGTCGGCCTCGGATTTAGAAGCCGAGCTTTTGCCGCTCTTAGCCTGATTTTATCGCCTGGCAATACTAAGGGGGCCTGAAGTAATGTTAGTCTGGTGCTAAGAGCAGCTAGTTCTTAATACGACAACATAATGTTATCAATCGTCATTTTAAAGCTTGTTCTATGTCCATCCATTCCGATCAGTTAAAACATTACATTTAACTTCTTTTGAGCATAGCTGTACTGTACAGAGAGGGTCTACAAGTAAAAATACTAGCGCTGAGCTAACATTACTTCAGGCTTCCCCCGTAGTATGCGCCTTTGCGACAAGGCTGGGGATTCCCACGGTATCGCAGTCTTTAATTTATCTTCAGTCGTTCAACAATTTCCAAAATCTCTTACCTGAACTGGTCCGATTGCGCCTCCACGTGCTGAACCTCTGCTTATCCATAATCCTTCTACCGAGATCACACAGAACAAAATCTTTTATATCGAGATCACGGATTAGAGTAGGTGTCGGATACGGCAGCCTTCCAGAAGCGCTCTCTAATATTGACTCCACCGTTTGGACCTTTGATGATGCATGACTCCTAGGCGGTATTGCGAGTAACTGTGGTTAGATGAAAATCGACTTCACTCGACCTGTCATTGCTGCTGGCATAAGAAATTCACTCTTTTTGTGGCTACATCACTTGGTCATCTCAATCCAGCCAGATGGAGCCCTTAACTGCCCTTGGCCTTGCTGCAAACCTTGTCCAGCTCGTCGATTTCGCTAGTAAGCTGGTCACCAGAGCCCGAGAAACGTACAAATCTGTCGATGGAGCACTAGTAGAGAACTCAGAGCTTCAAGCAGTAACGGAAAATCTCCAGACGCTTACCAGCCGACTCCACGTAAGCAGCAAAGGACCAGTCAACCGTTTCAGTAGTGCAGAGAAACAGCTTCACGACCTGTGCAGTGGCTGTAGGGATGCTACAGCCCAATTGCTATCAGCTCTAGGGAGGCTCAAGACCAAAGGAAACCATAACAGATGGGGTAGTTTTAGGCAGGCTCTTGAGAGTGTTTGGAAAGAGAGCGAGATCCAGAGCTTAGCTATCAGGTTGGAGCGGTTCAGAAGGCAGATAGACACTACTCTGTTGGTCTTGCTCCGGTAAGCCCCCTTGAAGAAAAGTACTTGGTCGATTCAAAGGCGTAATCTAAAATCCTTTCCAGTGAGCAGGTTGATCAAGCAGTATTGTCGTCAGATCTACGTACCAAACGAGTCAGCGAACAACTCCTCGGTTTTATCGATGCCACGAAAACCTGGCAAGCGGATCTCGTTGAGACACTACACCAAAACAACTGGCACTCTAACAGTCAAGAAGATACTGCCCTGTTCTCATCAAAACTGTCAAGTGCAGTTCAGCAGCAGAGCGAGGACCTTTCAAGATTGCGCATACGTGAACTTCTTCGATTCCCGAGCATTTCTGACAGATATGAGAGCATTGACGAAGCTCACAAAAGAACTTTCGAGTGGGTTTTCGACGAGGTTCCAGAAACAAGTGGACGGCAAAGTCAAGTTTCGATGGTGAGACACCAAGTCTGGGACAACTTCGTACAGTGGTTGCACGATACCGAAAGCCTATACTGGCTGTTTGGCAAGCCCGGATCTGGTAAGTCAACATTGATGAAGTACCTCTATGATGATCCCAGGACTTCACAACACCTCAAAGACTGGGCGTCAGACCTCCATCTAGTGAAAGCAGCATTTTTTTCTTGGAATTCTGGTACTCAGATGCAGATGTCGCAGATGGGGTTTTTGCAAACACTCCTGTATAAGGCAACAAAGAATCGCCCTGCACTTGTTTCTCGCATATTCCCTCGCAGGTGGAGATCGTATTTGCTATTTGGAGGCGATTTACATCCTTGGACCTGGTCGGAACTTGCCTCGGCAATGAAAATCCTGACTAGTGGCAGTGATATACGGTTCGCATTCTTCGTGGACGGACTGGACGAGTTCGATGGCGATGGTTCTCAACTTGTTAATCTGTTGATTGACATAACAACATCACCGAATGTCAAGATCTGCGCTGCTAGTCGCCCCTGGCTTGTTTTTGAGGAAGCCTTTAGCTCCCATCCTAGGTTGCGTCTAGAAGATTTGACCGCGCCGGACGTACAACTGTATGTCTCCGAAAAACTCCAGGGCAATGCCATGTTCCTTCAGCTTCAAAAGCAAGGTCCTCAACTGGCTCAAGATCTCATCCTGGAAGTCACGGGGAAAGCATGCGGAGTTTTCCTGTGGGTCCGGCTAGTTGTGCAATCCCTACTTGAAGGGCTCAGAGATGGTGACACCATCTCGGATCTACAGGCTCGATTGCTGGCCCTGCCAAGTGATCTTCAAGAGCTGTTTAGCAAAATTCTTGATCGCCTGAATCCACACTATTTTGCACAAGCGTCCAGAATCTTTCAAATTGTCCGTGAATCCTCGGAGCCTTTGACCATTCTCGATCTTTCTTTTGCGGAGGATGGGTTCGAGCTGGCCTTACAGGCTGAAGTTGCACCGTTGAAACCTGACGAGCTTACATACCGAGTCGAGACTATGAGGCGTCGCCTGATTAGCCGCTGCAAAGGTCTGCTCGAGGTGCCATCTGTCGAAGTTGAGGGACCTGCGGCAACAGTGCAATACCTGCACAGGACCGTTAAAGACTTCTTGACTAGCTCCGAAATATGGCGATCTATATTGTCTGGCTCCGCCTCGTCTTTTGATCCAACGTCTGCATTGTATGCCTCTTGTATTATGCGGATCAAGACAATGGATCCTCACGTAGATTCGCTATTCGGGTTCTTGGAGGTTATTGCTGCTTGCATAAAGCACGTACAGAGCATTCAGAGGAAGAATAATTCTGAACAAGTCACCCAGGTTGCTATCTTAGGTCTTGACGAATTGGATTGGGCAGCAGGTCAACTTCTTAGTGGGAAATGTGAAGTTTCAAAAACTAATTGGCTCTTGAAAGCAGCGTATGCAAATCAATATCCTATACGGCAGAACAGCATCTCAGACCTGGATTTTTACTGGGGCAATACGAAATACAAGCTCGAAGATCTTCTAAGAGAAGGCGGGAGGGCAAATGATGATTCCAGATCATTCCTAGACTATTCTTACAAACATGGTCTTGATTTCTACGTTCGACACATGCTTGAAAAGGGTTCAACAAATTTGGACAGCTTCCAAGGAGCTTCCTTGCTAATATTGGCAGCATACTTTGGGAACTCGGATGGTCCGGATTGTAAGATGGTTCGACTCTTGCTGAGGCATGGTGTTGATCCAAATGAGCTTGGACCCGGGGGACTTGAAAGCCCATGGCAGAAGTTACTACACCAGCCATCTTTCATTGAATCAATAGACATCGGAAAGTGGCTTGAAATGGTCAGTCTCTATCTCGAACATGGTGCAGATCCATGCGTCCAAACTTCCAAGGGTTCTGCCCGCTATATCGTCAAAAAGACGTGCGCATCGTCTAGTCCGGAGTTGAGTGTAAAAATGGACGAGGTAATTCGCAAATTGAAAAGCGGACAAAAACGGAAGACCGATTCACATGTACAACTTTATGGATTGCTGAAGCTTTTCAGGAGGAACAAGCATAAAAAATAACGAAGTTCCGGGAGCTCTGTCTATTTTTGTCACTAAGCGGCTAGTCATTACGACATCCCTTGTCCTACCGCCTCAACCCCCTCCTTCTGCGGTGAGGTTGTTTCCTATGGATGCTTTGGCCGACTCTGGCACGAAAACATGGTCGTTTACGGACAGGGGCCCCTGGACAGTCTCGTCCGGTAGCATTTTGCTACAACATTCGATATGGCGATTTGAACCAGCATGAATTGACGGCTGCTTTGATAGTAAAGGATCATGGCAATATCATCTCCAGGAGACCATTTATGCTCCAGCACGCTGACCTGGCAGTCGTGAAGAAGAAGATCAAGCCAGGCGTTGTCATGCAAACGACCATGCAGAAATCTGGATCCGTATATATGGCTCTGTGTCATGAGAGATTCATCATGACAAGGAGCCTCCTGGGCATGAGTATAAACTGTCTCGATTTCGATTTGGTCGTCTGATCTATGAGCTGTTCAAGGGAATGGGGGCCCTCTCTGCAATGAAGCGTACCGTGGTTCTGTCCATCCAACAGGACCAGTGATGGAGGGGTGCATCTCTTATCAACACTGTCACTAAAGAAGTTAGCCATGATTTGATCATCCTTTCTCTTTGTTTATATCAAGCGTCTTTTTATTTTAATTTTCAGGGATTTTAACAGCGCGGTTTGCTCGAAGGCCTAATCTATGTCGTTGCTCCTTATAAGCGGACGGAATGAAAGGTTCAAGTTCAATATCAGATTAAATGAAGACCCCATGTGACGCAAGAATGATATGTATTAAGAGATTTGTGAGTGAGGTGACCTCGTTATAGCCACCATCCGGACATAGAGATCCTTCCTTGAGCTCTATGAATGCCAACATAGAAACATCACCCCACTTTCTAGACACTAAAAACACGATTCCTCTCTCTCATCTATGGCAGGAAAGGCTACCCACTCGAGTCGGTTGCCGGAGGCAATGTTTCTCTCCTCTAGTACTGTTTCTGAACTCACATGCAGGGTGGGAGATGAACAGACACGAAAATGCCTGGTATGTGAAACGATTTTCCTTTGGCAGTGGTTATTGCTGACTACTGGCATCAGCAGAAAAGAGACGCTCCTAGAGTAATGTCAGCAGCATCCTCAATGTTCGCTTAATATGTATAAGATTCTATAGCGAGGTCGTTCGTGATCCAACCAAGTTCTGTCATTTTCATGGTGCCTTGCTGGTAATTCTTGTCACAACTTAGAAGACTATTATTTTATACTGAAAGAAAACATTTGCTTGGAAAACAATTCTACTCAGAAATACATGTTCATATATCTGGAATCTGATTTCATGAGAATAATATAAGAAAATGACATCCCACGCATGCTGTCGATATTGTGCAGATATTATCATATGGGATATTGATAACTACCAGCACATCATGAAGGACGAGAGGAGATGAAAGCGGATGTGTTATTAAGATCAAATAGTGAGCATTGTGCGGATCCGTCTGATGCTCGAAAGTAAACGATATCTTCAACGTACATATGATGGGTGAGATTTAGGTCAGAGACCTGGCAGCGAACGAAGTTGTCTTACACACCTTGACCACCCGTTCATTGCCTTGGACACATGAGATCAAGGCCTCATTGGGCCCCTTTGGGGCTTCCCAGGCGTCAAGGTACACGAGACATCCTTTCCTTAATCATCCGCCATGGCTTCCACCCCACTTCCGTCCTATCAGCTCTTCTCGGTTGGATTTCGGCATCTGTAGCCTGTGACTCATTGTCGGCAGGTTGCCTGTTGGTTTTTGACGGCTCGCTTAGTTGCCCAGCTAGTGTCGGTATGTTGGGTTTCCCTGAAGTCGTGCGTATGCTGTGGCTTCTGGTCGGTTTTGATTTGTCTGTAACGTCTTGTGTGGCTTCGACTGTTTGCTTGTTGCTATGTATTCGCTCTTGTGTAAGTTCGCACGGCACGTTTGGAAGGGGCTTGTTAGTAAGTATAAAACTCCGGGTGGTACGGCGAGCAGGTTCGAAGCCATCCGGATGTACTGGATCATTGACGTCTTCACCCTGTCCTCTTGCTTGAATGCGTGCATACGAGGTGGCCAATGTCTGATTTTCTGATAAAGATGGATCACTTGGGTGGGGCATTTGTAGATTGGCGCTGCGTCCACTTCTACCCATCTCCAGTGACGACGTATTTAAACTAGTTCCAAGGCCGCTGTCCGCCAGGTTGCCTTCACCGTCGGAATCATGCTCTGAATGAGTCCCTGGCACAGGATCTCCTACTTTGGGCCAATGCCAGTCAAATCTCCTGCTTCGTCCGAATATGGCTGCTCCTCTATCGTTGTTGAAGGGTTCAGGGTGTTTCTTGGAGCCCACAGACAATGGTGGAAGAAGTACTTGTATTCGATCGCAGGCAGAACCCAACTGGGGGGGGATCGAACTTACACTTACACGGCTCAAAAAGCTTATCTGCTTTGTACCAGTAAATCCCCTGCGCGAGCTCTAGAGGGTTGGAGTCGGTGTCTCCGTTCTTCATGCAAATCTCACGCAGATTCCTGGTGCAGACAACGAGGTAGTCTTTACCCTTTGGAACACTCTTCCAGGCTCTGCAGAGGTGGTCACAATCCTGGGCTGGCTTGATGAGTTCCCCAAAGCCTCGACCCAGTAGGTTAATCGCGCCAATGCTTCTGGTGAAGTCTACCCAGCCTCTTCCACTGGGTTTCAAAATAGATACTCTCGGTCGCAGAGGGTTCTGTCCGCTGACTATGTCCATGAACCCAAATCCCTCGAGCTTGTCGCGGTCTGTAAAACGTAGACCTATTCCCAGAGACGCCAACATTCTGGTTTGATGATCGTGAATCTGCTCGACTATGTCCCATGTTTGCCGCACCAGATCTTGGAAGCACCACTTCTTTGTTTTTCTCTTCGTTTCCTCCTCCTTCGCCGATCCTTTAGCTGTCAATTCGCTCCATATTTCAACATCTTCAAATATCACAATTTCCATATTTCGTACATCTGTCAACGCTATTAGAGCAGCATCTGCACCATTTTTGGAGTCTGCATGACGAAAATCTTCGAGCTTGAATAGAGGACTCGAGCAGTATGGGCTGGAAGAGAGTTGAGTGCGTACGATATGAAGGAGAGCGCTTGCTCCATCTACAAGCCAACCACGACGGTCTCTAACATCATAGAGTACCACATTGATGTTACGAGCAAAGTGAACTTCTTGTAAGTAAGGCCCTGCACGGGACAAACAAATTGGGATGTCTTTGTTACCCTTGGCAAAGGTCGCGCCTCCTGTTATAAATCTTCCTGCGGAAATTGACACCTTCTCCAAAGCGCAACCTGGGGAGGAAAAATTGGGTCCTGTCCACTCAATATCCTCGTACCTTACATCAGGACTTCCTAATGCAGGCCAAATTATTAGCATTATCTCTAGTTACACAACGGCGAGTCGAAAAGTCCGGCAATGCTTCAACGCGACTTACCTGTTCGCATCACAACAGATGAGGCCCAGCCGAGGAAATTTCTGGTAGAATTCGAAGATAAGAAGTCGACAGTGTCTATTAAGGTTCGATTTGAGCGATTTCTTTTCGCGGATAAGTATGAAATACGACCTTGGTTCTCCTCGTAGAGAAAATGCCAGAGCACCGAGTTTCCAGTCCTCTCCGTCGGCACAAACATAGTGGAGAACCCCTTGATAACAAGGCTGCCGTCGAACTTGGTTGCACGAGATGCTTCACCCAATTGTGCCATCATGTTTAAGGGAATCTCCAAACCTTTCTCTCGGTGGTTTCTAGCAAGAACAGGATATCCATTGGCAATGACAGGATTCCTGAATAGCGAGTGCCAGCAGCTTCCATTCTGTTCCGGTCGTGTTCACCAAGTGGAAGATCATCTATCAAGAAATCAAGCCTGAAAAGAAGATTTGAACTCTCCAGTAGTGTGATTTGCGCAGTAGAATAAGCCATCCCGTCCTTTGGCGATGCTCGACAAGCAGCGCCGAGCCATGCAAGTTGTTCTCCAATCTCTGCCAAAATACGCTCCACTCCAGTCGCTTCGACTAAGACAGTTGAACCGTGCAGAGAGATTTCAAGCCCAGTGTCATCGGACAATTGATCTATTCTCGATTAGTACTCAGAGGAAGGACATGCACATGGGATTGTTACTACACTTATGAGGATGCAACAATGTCTCAACCACTGCAGCTTGTAGCGCCCGCAAGACTTCATCTCCAGTTGATGGCCACGTTTGATGTATGTATTGAGCACAAGTCATCGCCTGTGCATCAATGGCTGAGCCGGTCACTGTAATAACTTCCCCAATTGCTTGATTCGCTCCATCCTGATACTGTTGTTCTTTGAGGAACATCAACGGACTCCAGAAAACCTCGAAAACCACCTTGTGGGCTGAGGGAGAGCGTTTTCCATAATTTCTGTGGGAATGTAAACCGGCAAAAATCGTCTTCCTGATAACGTCTATAGCTGTCCCCTTCCTGGTCGTCAAGATTAACCCAGTCTGTATTCTTCCAAGCAGCCACTCATATGCCTTGCTCTGGATCAGGAACATCCGAGCTTCTGGCAAGAAGGGGATATTGGGGTTTTCCTTTTCCTCCACCTCACTTTCGAAAAGGATTGAATCCTTCGGCATTTCTACAGGCAAATCAGGAGTACCTGATCCTTCGGTGTTCCAGAAGTTTACCTTTTCCTTCATAGTGAGCTCATCTGAAGTTCTAGATCGACGAGAGACGTCATCTGGTTCTCGCCATGTTGGCGCAACGGACTCGTGGAAGCAACGGGCAATGTGTCTAAGAGCAGTCAGATAATATAGAGAGATGGAAGGGAACGCGAGATTTGCATGACTGAACAAACGAGCAGTTGAGGTCACGTACTGCCGGTAATGGCGCACAAATACCGCCGCATCTTTTTGGAGCCCAGGTACCGCACCATATCTTAGCTGGATTGCGTAATCCTTTAGCAGTTCGGGAAGATTCTGTGCCACAGTTCTCACAGCATCCTGCTGATCATTTAATGCACTCCTAAGACTCTGGCAGAGTTCACTAGCGAAAGCGGAGACGAGGTTGTCCTTCACGTCAGGTAAGAGTGTAAGCTCCGAGTTGTCGGTGCTAATTGTCTTCGTGTCGTCGCCAACTTCCTCTTGCGCATCGGTTTTCTCGGGTCGTCCCATAGAGGTGTAACCTGAGTCTGTGGGTACGCCGATTGAAGCTTCGCCGCCCGCCGAGTCGTTCGGATATCGGAGCTTGGTAGTGTCCAAGACATATGCCAAGCTGAGTTCTCTAACATCTCCGGGCCCTGATGAGGGCTTCCCGGCCAATAAAAATATCTTCTGCCGAAAGACGGTCATGCGGTGTCCCGATCGAGGAGATGGGGCAGGCCCCGTAAGCTGAAATTTATACCAGCGCTGCGACGTGATGCGAAAAGCGGCCAAATCACCGAGAGTTGTGCCTTCCTCTGTCCGACCACCGAAGATGTACATCGTATCGTTGACAAGAGCCGCGGAATGTCCCTCTCGTGGGCAGGGTATGTACCCGACACAGCCAGGTTGCGTCCAAGTGTTGAACATAGGCTCATACGTCCACACGTCGTTATACCAAGTCATGCCATTGGTGCCTCCAAACCTATGTTCCTGTCAGCTAAGAATCTTGGACGAATTGTATTAGATCATACAGATAAAGCTGATCATTGTAGCTGACCATTGAATGGTTTGTTCTAGACGGCGGAATTCCGCCATCTCTAGTGGTGTGACCGTTCGTCATCAAGGGAACCCAATCTCTGTCAGGTTTGAGCCAAGGATTCAGATCATATGCAAATAAATCATTAAAGAAATAGCCTTCCACCTGACCTCCAAAGAGGTAGAGCTTATTCCCAAGAAGAGTCAAGGTATGACCACAGCGACCAGACGGTACTCCATGAAAAGGCCCCACTCTTGACCATAGCCTGGAGGCTAGGAAATATCAATAATCTATTTTTGCACACCGAGGATAGGTTCTTACAAGTATTCAACAGGTATAAGGTGTTATCCAAATAATCCCCGTCATCCATTTTTGTATCACCTCCGAAGACAATGAAAGCGTTCCCGACCAATAGACCGGCGTGCCCAACTCGAGGTCCAGGTCCGCTGGTTACTGTCTGAACAGAAAAACAAGAAATACTCTCGCCACCAGTTTTAAACATCCAGAGATCTCCCTTGACTGATGACCCATTACTTAGACCCCCTAGCATATAGATATCGCCATCGGAGGCGACGGGATTGATAGCTGGTCCATATCGAGGGAAAGGGTCTTGCTGCTGAAATACAGGATATTGTATTGGCAGTGCCGACCAGGGATATAGCGATGAACTCGAAGAATACACAGGAAGAGTGCCCATTGTACTACAGAGGTACGTAACGTAACCGGTTAGCACTCCAGCGCAATAAGCGCAAGTAGGATACCTCTTGACGACCAAGTGACCCAAGGAAGAACGCTAATACTTACATATATTTATCCTCCGTCTAAAAATTCCCCTCTCTAACCAATATTGGTCGCAGCCTTTCGCAGCCACCAACCTCAGCAAATTCGGTGGACCGTTTCCGGTGTTGTCGGGCGCCAGAGAGCGTACGGGGCTAAAGAAATAAATCTACTTGACCAAGGCGTGCGTGTATTCTGTGCTTCAGTGGAGATGCAGATGTGGTGCTGCGTAGACTGAAAATGATGGCAACGGTGACTTCCACCGCCTCTGTTCAAGGCTCTATTCTTCAATGTCGCCGCAAGGCTGGGCCGCCTGTCTCTAGATCACTGGCAATGAACTAGGAGATTTGTGCTCCCTTTCCGGAAATCTACAGTGGTACTGTGCATTGCGAAAGTCTTGCGAAAAACTTGGCGGGTGTTGGAGTTGCTGGCGCCGCGTCGTTAAACAGAAACGGCTCTGAAGGATTTTTTATAGATCTTTGTTGTACAATTCTTATATCAAAATAATGATAAGCTTCTCTTGATTTTAATAATATAGATTTTGTTGGAAATAGACAGGGCAGAAGCAGTATGTTGCCATGGCGTGGCCAGAGAGATTATAGATTCTATCTAGAATAGGGGCAGATACTTATATATCTGCGCTAGCATTGATGTCATGTGATATATCACATGACCTTGGCGTGCCCTGCGCATGCCCTGTGTACGGCCTGCGCATGCTCCATGCATAGCCCTCGAATGGGTCCCGAATGCACTTCTCAACAGATTTTAAATATATAAGATTCTTCTTCAAGAAGTAGAATTAAAATATAAAAAGTCAGCTTTATTAATCAAGATCTATATCACTAGTTATTTATATTATTAGAATCAAGAGAAGCTCAATATCATTTTAATACTATCTATATCATACAAATTCATAGATGACCCTTAAGAGCTGTGTTCTGTTTGACAATGCGGCGCTAGCAATTCTTGATATAACGCTAAGGATTCGCAACACTTTCGCAATGCATAGTACAAGAAGTTCTGTAGAGTGCATGGCATCGCAGGAACATGATTAATGTACAATGTACAATGACTTTCATTCTTATAGAAATTAGGTATTTATATATAATTTTAGTCTTAGATTATTCAAGTACTGTCGACCGCTAGTCGTACGTTAGAGTACGTTAGAGTACGTTAGAGTACGTCAAAGTACGTCGACAGTCTGATACACGTTTCTTCATCCACCACAATTCTGAACCAGATCTCGCGTATTCTACGGCTCATCAAGATGGTCGCCGTCGTCATTCTTTTTGTTACGACACGGATTGCCCTAGGCCCAAAGGGGCATTAGGGCTGAGGGCTAGGGCAGGCTCGGCACCCTGCGCGTCATATCTCTATCCTCGCCTCTATAGCACTTAGATAGTGATCCATCGCCTTACCACACAGTCATACAGTAGTTCATACGCAGCTATTTCGTGACTCTCCTGCTTCTATAGCACCCCCATACCCTGTTGCACGGCCTTCCGCGTAACACTTTTCGTCCTCCTCAAAACTCTTGACGTCTCATTATATCAGATCTAACAAGACATCATGGTTACCGGAAGATGGGCTAGATTCATGTCTCTGGGTTCGGACGAGTTGGAAGTAGATCTATCATGGTAAGTTGGCTTTCCATCTCAGTGTCCCTGGGAAACCCTTCTCGATTTCGCATGTCGAATATCTCGGGACTCTGTGTACCTTGTTTGGCAATCGGGTCATGGAAGATCGCTAAGGGTGATCCAAAATAGAAGTAGGGATGGATGGTCTCAGGTAGTACTTTGAACGGTAGCTACCTGAATTTCCACGGTAGGTGCATGCGATGCGAAGTCATTGAATGAATTCGTGCGATCCGTACCACTCACACAAGCCCGAGATAAAAAAAAATGGCGGAAACTTGATGCGGAAATTCGCAGAGGAAGCGGGTCAGGAGGATGTATTTACCTCGGTTGCGATCGTTCGAGCTGGAATACGCTGCTGTGGGTGGAGAACATGTCGGCCCCTCGATGTTCTGGGTCGAAGTTGTGCGAAAAGCCCGCCGGGCATGTAGCATGATTGGCTTCTGCTGTTTGGGTGGATGCGGCTTTCTGATCATAAGGTACATTACCTCCTCGTCTTGATATGAGACTCGAGAACAATACCGTAGGATAGATTAGGACACCTACCGGATTAGGTCATCGTCCCAGTTTGCTAGTAAGCATGTTAAGGTAAGAATAGCACTCGCTCTAACACATTCTTGTAGGTGAAGAGGGTCTCTGGTTGGTCTTATGAAACTGGTTACGGTTCTGGCAAGTAGAGCAGGGGACAGAATACTGGGTAATCACGAGTTACGGATCATTGGTAATCATCAATTTTAGCTAGAGGAAAGTATAGGAACGGATATAGATCCACGTAGGCTCAAAGCCGAGCCTTACCAGGTTTGGCAGAGGAGGATAAATCAAATCGGTCCAGGTTCATCACCTTGTCCCAGGCAGCCACAAAATCCTTCACAAACCTCTTCTGTCCATCCGCGCTGCCATATACCTCGGCGATGGCGCGCAACTCGGCATGAGAGCCAAACACTAGATCGACGCGGGTGGCGGTCCATTTTTTCTCGCCAGTCTTATGATCGACACCCTCGTAGACTTCATCGTCGGTGCCGCTTGCCTTCCAAGCCGTGCCCGTGTCTAGCAGGTTGACGAAGAAGTCAGTGGTCAGCTGGCCCGGACGCTTAGTGAGCACGCCATGAGCGGATCCATCATAGTTGGCATTCAGGGCACGCAGGCCGCCCACCAGCACCGTCATTTCCGGAGCGGAAAGTGTCAGCAGATGCGCCCTATCGACAAGGAATTGTTCGGTGCGCACCCGGGATGTCGATTTGCCATAGTTGCGGAATCCGTCAGCCACTGGCTCCAGATGTTCGAAAGACTGCTCGTCGGTTTGGTCTTGCGAGGCATCCATGCGGCCGGGCGTGAAGGGAACGGGAATACCTGCAGCCTTCTCCACGGCGGCGCATCCTGCCAGCACGATGAGGTCGGCCAGCGACACCTTCTTTCCGCCAGTTTGGGACTCGTTGAAGTTTTTCTGCACGCCTTCTAATGCGCTCAGCACTTCACTCAGCTGTGATGGGTTGTTCACTTCCCAATTTTTCTGGGGAACAAGGCGGATGCGGGCACCATTGGCGCCGCCGCGCTTATCACTGCCCCGGAAAGTGGAAGCCGATGCCCAGGCCGTAGACACGAGCTTGGTAGCCTCCACACCGGATGCGAGAATCTCTTTCTTCAGGGCAGCAATATCCTCGTCATCGATCAGCGGATGATTTACAGCTGGAATCGGATCTTCCCAGATCAGCTCTTCGGCCGGCAATTCTGGGCCGAGCCAGCGAGCTCGCGGCCCCATGTCGCGATGCAATAGCTTGAACCATGCACGGGCGAACGCGTCAGCAAACTGATCCGGATTCTCGAGGAAGCGACGCGAGATCTTCTCATACTCTGGGTCGAAGCGCAGCGCAAGATCGGTCGTCAGCATTCTTGGCGGGTGCCTTTTGTTCGCATCGTAGGCATCGGGGATGAAGGCCTCAGCATTCTTCGCCACCCACTGATTTGCACCACCCGGACTCTTGGTCAACTCCCATTCATACTTGAAAATATACTCGAGATAGCTGTTGCTCCACTTTGTTGGAGTTTTAGACCAGATTACTTCCAGGCCGCTGGTAATGGTATCGGGACCCTTTCCGGAACCGTAGCTGTTGCTCCAGCCAAAGCCCTGTTGCTCGATGGCGGCCGCCTCTGGTTCGTTGCCTACGTGATCAGAAGAAGCTGCGCCGTGCGTCTTACCGAAAGCATGACCACCGGCAATCAGGGCGACCGTCTCCTCATCATTCATCGCCATGCGTCCAAAGGTGGTGCGGATGTCTCTGGCCGAAGCGACAGGATCGGGCTTGCCATCGGGGCCTTCAGGATTCACGTAGATTAAGCCCATGTGGGCGGCTGCCAGCGGCTTTTCTAGGTCGCGCGAGTGGATGTCGCTATGGCTTTTCTTGTGTTCATCCGAATCCACTACGCCATGGCCCGCCACACCTTCTTTGCCTCCCGAATAGCGGACGTCATTGCCCAGCCATGTCGTCTCGCCCCCCCAGTACACAGACTCGTCAGCCTCCCAGGTATCGGCGCGGCCACCAGCAAAGCCAAAGGTTTTGAAGCCCATGGATTCAAGTGCCACGTTGCCAGTGAGCAGCAACAGATCCGCCCAGGATATCTTGTCACCGTATTTCTGTTTGATGGGCCATACCAGGCGGCGTGCCTTGTCGAGGCTGACGTTGTCGGGCCAGCTGTTCAGCGGCGCAAAACGTTGCTGGCCCTGGCCTCCGCCACCACGGCCGTCAAAGACGCGGTAGGTGCCCGCGCTGTGCCAGGCCATGCGGATGAATAGACCGCCGTAGTGACCAAAATCGGCGGGCCACCACTCTTGCGAATCCGTCATCAGCGCATGCAGATCTTTCTTCAGCGCATTGTAGTCCAGGCTCTGAAAGGCCGCCGCATAATCAAAGTCTTTGTTCATCGGGTTAGTGACCGCAGTGTGCTGGCGCAGGATGTTCAGCTTCAACCCATTGGGCCACCAGTCGCGGTTCCTGGTGCCGCCACCGCCAATATTGGCTTCCTTGAGAGAGCTGTGAGCCGGACATTCACCCATGATTTCGTTTCAGTCTGTTAGCGAAGTTGGAGTGTGGAGGAGAATTGTTACAGGAAGAGGAGAGGATAGCCCGGATGGATGCTTATGTCTAGAAGCTTCTCCGACCGTTGTTCATGTCGATTGCCACACCCGTACTCCGCACCGCCTAACTGATTAAGGCTTAGATGTCTCGCTTGAGCCAATCTTGATGCAAGTATACTAGCGCTGTGCTACGAGTACTTATGGCTAATAGAGGAAATACGGATGATGGGCGGCATCACCCTAGCCTGAGTTAGTTGTAGTGTTAGCTCGGCTCTAGGTATTTGCTTATCAAAGCAGCTATCACACTTTGAGTCGGTTAATTAGCATGTCAATCCAACCACGTCTTCACTTTTCCGAATGACAGCGATACTTTGCAAGGTCAAAGCTTCTTCCTATGACTGGGCAGACAAGGCCTCGATACCCATGTTCCGATTGTATCTGTCGAACATTTCACCTTGTATGGTGGGAAGTTTATAATGATGCGTCTTGACCTCTTTCAATTAGGGTAAACAACTATGCATCGATCTGCGGGCGGTGGGAGAGACATGAACCGCCAGGGCTTATCACAAAATTCTGTATGATATGTAGCGAATGCCACGAGCAGTACGCGAAGCAGGTGGAGTTGTTGGATATTTCCATTGTAGGATTAGCCGGTAGTGGGATCACTACTTGTAGGCTCAAATCTGGCAAGCAGACCTAGTCCGTCCTTGTTCTTGTGGCTCGATCTACTCCAGAACACCATTGTTGATCATACATATAATCGTAAAGCAGAACCCCGGAGGAGTCGATGCACGCTCGAGATTCAGTTGCCTTCGCTGCCAAATTCCGCAGTCCATTCCGCGTTTCTCTTCAGATCTTGACTGCTGACGGTCGGCCGTGCGCCTTTGACCGCCTTGACAAAATCTTTCAACACCAATGGCGGTTCGAGTAGCTTGTCTGGATCAACGTCGACCCATGTCATTTCCATCGCACCTTTGTCGCCTGGTGAACAGGGTGTGAGCTTCTCCTCGTCTCCGACCATTACCTGTTGTAGATCGATGAGTCATCTTCGCGTGCTTTGGAGGATGGAGAGGACAATTAATTACCTTCTTGTAATGGGTGGCCATCTGAATCTTCCGCACAGGCTGCATTAAGGCGTCCTGTACTGCGATGCTGATATCGCTTCCACTGTACCCTTCGCTCAACTCTGCCAACGCCTTGTAGTCCTTTTGGGTGAGCTCGCAATTCGTATCTCCGACGGCGATCTCGAACATGCGCATCCGTGCCGGGGTGTCTGGCAAGCTGATGTGTACTCTCCTCTGAAATCGTCTTCGAATGGCTGCATCAAGTTGCCATGGAATATTTGTAGCTCCAAGAATAAGCACTCCTTTAGTGTCTTTGCCGACCCCATCCATCTGCACCAATAATTCTGTCTTGATCCGTCGTGATGCCTCTGACTCGCCTTCTCCGCGAGGACCACACAAGGCATCAACTTCATCGATGAAGATGATGGCTGGCTTGTTTTCTCGTGCCATATTAAAGAGTGCTTTCACTAATCTGGACGCCGGGTAAGCCACCTATGCACCAGGGTAGGGACCAGGGTTATTTGTACCTTTCAGATTCTCCCATCCACTTACTCACCAAATCACTGCTGCTGACACTGAAAAATGTGCTGTTGGCCTCTGTAGCAACAGCTTTGGCTAGGTAACTCTTTCCCGTGCCAGGCGGGCCATACAATAATATTCCCTTCCACGGCTGCCGCTTGCCCTGAAACAGATGTGGAAACTTAATAGGTAATATCACTGCCTCTTTCAGCGCTTCCTTTGCTCCATCCAACCCGGCAACATCTTCCCACTTGATATTCGGCTTGTCCGTCAAGATCGCTCCAGTCAATTGCCCCCTCAACTTCTTCTGGTCACTATCTTCCTCTTCCCCGTTTCCGTCTGCCTTGCTTGCTCCATTACTCGCCTTGCCGTTTGCCCCCATGGCTGCTGGTTTTCGCTTGGCATTTGGATCATTGGCTTGGATATGTTGTTTTAACTTTTCAGCACGCTCCATATATTCGCCTGTTTTGGCGCGTATCATTTCTTTCGATTTGGCGTTCTTCTCCCATTTTAGCGCTAGCATGAACAGTTCTAGAGCTGTGTAGTATTGTTGATAAGCTTGCTCGTAGGTGCCAGCGTTATCTAGCTCTATGGCTTTTTTGACACTCTCGATAGCCCGTCCAAGAAAGTCGGTATTAGACATTTGATCAGACTGAGGGGAGGACGAAGGAGTGGAGGACGAGGACGGTGAGCTGGCTGGCTGACACTCCGGTGAGTTCTCGGAGATTGAAGTACTTGTCCCTTTCGCCGGGCAATCGAGGAGGTAAACACTCTTGCCTAGGACCAGGATGGAGGGCTGTTAAGAGGCTTTGTAAGAAATCGGGCTGAAACGGTATGAACCTTGTAGCCCAGCAATGTGCATATGAGACTCGCTATCGGAATTTTGCTGTGTCGCCTGTATTTATTGTTGTGGTACAAACTTCGTAGCAAAGACATGGGCAAGGTGATGAGCAGGGAGGGTTGCCCCACACTGCAGTTGACTAGCGCCGACCTTCAGAAACTGGACTCTGGAGAGCGCAAGGAATTCTTATTTGCTCTTCAACTTCGATTGATGGGTATCAAAGTATGGCAGAAAACCAGCAGAAGCTGCAGAGCTTGTCAAACGAGTATCAGCAACTGCAAGACGGTGGGAATAATCCGGATCACGAGGCATCGCAAGGCACTTACTGAGCCCCCTTACAGATCTCCAAACCACCATAGCAGCCCGCCAAAAGCTCGAGTCACAACAGGAAGAGAATCGCGCCGTGCAGAAAGAATTCAAGACTCTATCTAATGACTCAAATATCTACAAGCTCGTTGGCCCAGTGCTGCTGAAACAAGATCGCGACGATGCTAAGCGGACGGTGGATGGCAGGCTGGAGTTCATCGGGAAGGAGATCAAGAGGGTTGAAGCTACGATTAAGGAGCTGCAGGAGAAGGGCGAGAAGATGAGGGGTGAACTGGCTGCATTGCAGCAGAAGGTTCAGATGGAACAGCAGAGTGGTGCTGGGAAAGGAGCTTGAAGCCAGTCAGCCTTTGGCCGTTAACATTTGCGGGCACTTGCCTTCCCAATCTGGACAATGGAAATTATGCCGGCAGTACTCTACCTCCAAGTCTCGAAGACTAAGGTTGAAAAAGATGGAGCGTTGCTACGGCGTAGCGGGACACCCAGCATTATTGGGACGAACAGTGCACGAAAAAGACTCGCAAGCAAGACAGGACCGCAAACATGGAATCGATGTTGTTGAAGAGACGAATCAGCATTGCCATTCATCATCTTCAGCAATCTGTCGCAGAGACTCAGCACTGTGGCCACATAATATGCAACAGCCAGAGAGTCCCAAGCATATCGCTTCCACCCCGAGAGAGAGGATTAAGAAGCAATACTTTTTTCTTCTTAAGAAACGAAATTCGAACATATATGCAGCTAGCGGAAGGCTTGAGAGAACGCTCATCCCTCTTCGTCTAAGAATACGAGGCTGCATGATCTCAATTCCTGGCGCGTTTCGTTCTATTCTATTTCACTCGACCTGCCCAGAGTTCCGCTAATTGTCTTCAGTCAGCATCAGGACTCTCAGTACGACCCATCGAACCTTTTCGTTCCCTGGGTTGTTAGAAGGTCGCCAAGGTATTAAGGGAATTTACTCGACTATGCCTAAGTATGGCATAGGGCCTCCGTCTGAGAAGCCCTTGCGTTCGGACCGGTAAATTCAACAGTCACATTCAAGCGGTACATCGTGGAAGTTAGCGGTAGAACCCTTGGCATGAACTCCCTATCAACTTAGTTGATACTTGCCATTACTGCTGTTCATAGTATAATAGCTGGTCAGAGTGTCATCAGGTGAACGACTTTCTAATATGGACTTTACATGATATCTTATCGTTGAAAGGGTCAAGACTACCAGATAGAAGTGCACAATTGTCCTTGAGATATGTAGTTAACTGATTTAGTGTTTCCAGTCAAATCAAATTAGTCAAATCAAATTAAATCAAATGCTTGGCAATCAAATCAAATCACGTTTGTCAAATTAATCAAATTGGGTCTTAGCAGAAAAGTTGTATGTTCTAGCATATTTTGGCATATTTTTGTTGGAAAAATAAAAGGTCTTGGCGGACTCCTTTTGCGAGATGGAAATTCTTGACAATTATCCTAAATTATTGCGTACTAAGATTTTTGACAAATGAATCAAATAAACCAAATCGGCGCTAAATTTGGTTCATTTCATTTGATGGATACCCTGAACTGAATATCCCAAGCATGAGGAAGAAACCGTTAGAATCATCTTCCTGCGAAGTTCTGTTGGATACTTCCATAACGATGTTTGCAATGATGAAGAGTCTTAGTTACCAGTGATACTCATCACTATTCCCTCTGTCACTGAATGTGCTGCTCTCCTTGTTGGGAGTAATATTGTCACAATTTAGCATATCAAAGAAAAAAATCTAAAATATCCTTTTTGGTAATTAAGATATTAGATTTATTTACGTTTACTAAATAGTTTCACATTAGTCCTATTCAAACATACAATAATAACTTTCTAATATCACCGTGGTAGTAGTTGAAGACAGACACTATTCTTGGGTGCTGTGATACCCTCTCTGGTTACCAGTTTTAAAGTCGTCCAAATGCTGTTCAGGCGCCCTGGAAGGACATTGATCCATACGCGTCCATTGTACCGACACGCTGCCAGAAGGACGCACTTGTTCGAGGTGCAAATGAGGGCGTGCACTAGAAGGGCATGAAAGCATGTGTAGGTGAGCCCATTGGATCTTGCTTTATGTCTCGTGGGCGAACAGACGCGACAGACCGCACGGCGCACCAGTCAGGCTCCTCTTCTTTTCTCATAGCTTGCCTTTTGAGTGGACTGGTTTTACTGCTCTCGTGGAGACAGTGATGCGAAGTTAACGGAGCTTGCCTGCTGATCGCAAATTTATGAAGCTCTAAATGCTTCATATAACTGCATGTCATAGTTCTCTTTGTCGTTGATCTTTGCCTCCAGGAACTTCGAAGATTTGACAGTCCAATACCCCGTATTGATTCGAAAAAAATCAGGGTCATTTGAGTGTCCCTTTGCGAATCTGGGCTGAATGTGATCGTAGAACAGTGCAAAGAGCCCTGTGGGGCTTTCTAAAGCGAAAGAGTACCAGAACGTACCCATCGCCCAACCCCGCTTCAGAACAGACGAAATGGCTATGGTGGGCTGTCCTTCAAATCAAGAGTCCTTTCTTCTTCTTGAAAAGCATCCATGAATTCTTTATGGAGCTCTGTGTACTGATCAAGATTGATATCATCCACAGATTGGCTTGTCAACCAGTAAGGAGGATGTACCATCTCGATGGGACGAGAACAGGCCCACTCCAGGTCAACCAGGCATTTAATGTTCCAATTATCGTCAACAAAGATATTGCTCTGATGGAGATCGGCGAGACAGAACACCAACGGGCCCCGACGTAGGTCAAGTCGGAAGAATTGAGAAGAAAGTGATTTCATGATTGCCAAGGCCGCCATCTGGTATAAGCCGTCCTCATCGTCCATGATCGCATTGGGCTGATGTCGTAAGCGACCATCATGGAAAGCGAGGATATCAGCAACGTAAGAGTCAACCGTGGAATAAGTAAAATCCCGTGGCATGTCTACGGGGATCTCCTCGTTCTCCAAATCTTGAATCTCGAGTGAGAGGGGCCTGTTCTGCAGGGTTAAGGACCCGTCGTCGTCAATCCTGAAGATCAAATTACTGGGAGATTAATGCGAGAGACCGTCAACAATATACGAGATAGGTCTCGGAATAAATTGGCGCGAAGCTCCGTCTGATGACGTTTCTCGTTCCATGTGCATGAAAGCATTTTTCCTTCTGATTCTTCAATGTACTCAAGTAGAAGGTAACCGGTTCTCAGTCCTCCTAGGACCTCGTCAGGACCTTGGTGGCGGACGTATCGAGATAACCACGAGTATCCAAGCCATTTTGGAAGTCGACGTAGGAGATATCCTAAGCAGCGGCTGGCAAGAGGAAGGTTTTCGAGAGCGGTAAACTAGACCACGTTAGCCAAAATGACCAGCTAAGAACACTCTCATCATGTACTCTTTGACCCGTGGATAGCCCGAACCCGTAGAGAAATGGGATGCGAAGAGCTGGACAGTTTTCCTGAAGCCATACATAAGCCCCAGCTTCACATCGAAGCTTCTCGTCCGCATTGCCTGGACGAAAAGCCTCGCCGACTTGGTATGGCAGCGGAAATCTGATCATGACGCGTTTGAGAATATCATTATTCGAGTTCTTAATCGTAATTGGAGTGCAAAGGTTAAAGCTTCCATGTGACCAGGCCTCGGAATCGGCGATCCGAATTATCTCGTCGAATTCAGTCCAAGATGATGCGCGACAACTGCTCGTATGGAGCTGCGATTTTGCAATAGATAATTGTAAAATTCGAGTCTCTTCTCCGAATAAGTTAACTGGTGAAGTATATTTTTCTCGTTCTTTTGGGCTCTAGAACAAGTGATCTCTCTATCCAGAAGGCGACGTGGCTTGAGCATTGTGTTGACTGTAGATGAGAAGGATATCGAGTCTTGACCTGGGACTGAGAAGAGTAGATGTGGATTTCTCTATATGCAAATGATATGAGATAAGATGTAAGCAGGAGAGTTTGTAACGTTACAAGAGGTAAATGGCTGCTTCGAGGGGTTCCCATCCCAAACAAATGGATGTTGGCTCAGGGCGCAGAGGTCTAGTCTTTAAACGCGCTTGGAATGACTTATCACTAGCACGCTAGTAGGACATCGCAAATATTCTATCTTACTACGGTACGGAGTACGGAGTCATGTATTAAAAGTCATCAATATACGATAAAGATAGAGCGCCACTAGCACACTCAAGCATTAGCGTCACATAAAAAATGTGCTTACTACGGTTACAGGCCGAATTTTTGGAACCCCCCCCAGTCAAAATATCTTACAAACGTGTTTTTTACACACTCACGCCCTGTCAGCATCCCTGTCGCTATTTCGCACGAATTTTGCTCATCCTGCAAATTCTGTTCATTCTATTCCCTACGCATTCTACCAATTCTGTATAAATACCAATGAGCTTGATGATAAGAGGGCGGCTGATAATTGCTTCATAAGATGCTGTATCTTCTGACTATCTTAAGAAGCTCCTTCAGTGGATGCAGACAAATGTCAAGCAGTTACAAGTGCTAATGGAATGTAGAAACTTGATTTTAGAGATTAGTCCTTTTAGGCTATATGGCGGACGTTTATACTTAATTCTACATAGTACGTTTTGTACGGATACTAAACTTTTCACCAGGGGGGGGGACAAAAATTCCGCCTGATACCGTAGTACTACGGGAAGAGGCATAAGTAGAGTTAGCGTGACAATACAAGGTCCGGCGTCATCCGGAGGCATAATAAGTCTCAGCCCCTTATTTATCATGATGATTAGCTCTGTTCTGGGAACCATACAGACTAACGTCGTTCCATTAAAGTGTAAATCCGTCAAGGCTGTATTAAAAACAAAATTTCAAGCTTAAAGCTAATAATACTTGCCTCCCACCGTAGTAAGGGTGGAGCCTGGAGCTGTTGCTATGACCCCCTTTCCTTCGAGACCCCTAGAGGCTATTTGACGTAGCTCACAGGCCTGTGTCAGTTAAGCTTTAGCCATCCGCCACCTCTCACCATCCCTCCGTCCCTACCAACAACTAACTATGTCCTAGTACAAGAAAGGCTAGCTTTACTCATCTTATTAGCGTAGTATATTGATTACTTTTGATGCATGACTCTATCCACCTTTCTGACGTAAATTTTGACATTTTTCTAATTGGTTGTTACAAACGCGATGACGGATAAGAGCTTATAATTGGCAGATAAGCGCGCGGCCCACCAGATTATGCCCAATCAATGTCGCAGTAGAAAAACAAATCTGAATCATTAAGCCAAAGATGACCTAGCAAATATCTTTAATGGGTTTAAGGTTGCAATAGATGTCTGTCATTCGTTGAGACTAATTTAGACACTTGCGCTACTGAGTTTCAGCCACCAATGAGAAAAATGTCAAAATTTACGTCAGAAAGGTGGATATGAAGCAGAGGTATTGTTAGAGAAAAGGGACACATCAACCACTCCGCCAAAAGGATAGGGCTTGTGGGTTTCGTACCACACTTAATTGATGTATCCCCCCCTGACAGTTAGCAGGGTGCTAGGAATGACTAGTTCTGATACATATCCATATCCTATTCCAGAAGTTTCTTCTTATGCTCACCCACAGAAATCATCTTTATCCATACCGCTTCGCCCATTCTGTTTTAGCTATATCGTCCAGTACCTGTTACGCTTCCCAGTTACTGTTAGCGTATACGTAGTAAGTGGTTGTGCTCCGTGGTGCGGTCATGCCCTACCACTCTGTCTTTTTGGCCTAGACGACAAGGGTCCTCTGAAATTGTGATGCGGCAAGTCCTACCTGTCATTCTGATGTCTCCAGAATTCAATTGGAAAGTTGGTCAAGAGTCTTAGCGTTAGCACTTATACCACCTCGGGGGCCTCCTCAATTGCATCACACGAATTTTGGCGTTAGCACTTATTTCACCCCGGGGGCCTCCTCAACTGCATCACATGAGTGTTGACTTAAGCACTTATCTCACCCGGGGGGCCTCCTCAATTGCATCAAATGAGTATTATGAGTTACCGCTGTGTCTCTATTTGATCAACAAACTTGTCCCAGTCATATCCTCTGGCTGCTCCACGCCCATCACAGCAAGCACTGTGGGCGCCACATCTCCCAGAACGCCGTCTTCCTTCTTCAGACTCCAACCTTCCGGCGCGTTAGCCATAACGAAGGGCACCTTATTCGTGGTATGTGAGGTCTTGGGGGTCCCCTGTTCATTCAACATTTCTTCGGCGTTTCTAGATCAAAGTTAGAATTTGTATTGTCCATGACTCTGTGGGATACACGTACCCGTGATCAGCCGTCACAAAGAGGACATATCCTTCCTTCTTGCATTTCTCATACACTTGGCCAATGGCCTTGTCGGTGGCCTCGCAACCCTTGATAGCAGCCTCATAGACGCCAGTGTGACCGACCATATCCGGTGGAGCGAAGTTGTTCATCAAAAACCCGTACTTGCCATCGCCAATCCTTTCGCAAAGTCTATCGGCGACGCCTGCAGCGCTCATCTTCGGGTCAAGGTCATAGGTCGCAACTTTAGGAGAGGGGATCAATTCTCTGTCCTCGCCTTTAAATTGCTTCTCGACCCCACCGTTGAAGAAGAAGGTGACGTGCGCATATTTCTCGGTTTCAGCAACATGGCATTGCTTGATATCCTGCTTTCCCAGCCATTCTGCGAGCACATCATCCATTCGTTGAGGCGGGAAAGCGATGGGAAAGGGGTAATCCGTCTTGTACTGGGTCATCGTGGTGATGTGAATGTTTTTCGGATATGGGAAACCTGGTTTCGGCGAGCGATCGATGTCTCCAAGCAGCTGGGTGACTTCTCGAACTCGATCCGAGCGGTAGTTGAAGAAGAAGAGTGTGTCATCATCCTGAACCCGGTTCTCCTTTCCACCAACAATGATCGGTTTCAAGAACTCGTCGTTCTCGTTTTTGGCATATCTTTCTTTGATAGTCTTGACCGGATCGCTTGACTCTTCGCCTTCACCCAAGACGACGCCTTTCATGCCAATCTCAACACGGTCCCATCTCTTGTCCCGATCCATGATGTAGTACCTGCCCACCACCGTCCCAATCTCTCCAATACCCATCTCTTTGCACTTGTCGAGAAGCTGCTGCATGTAGCCGGCGCCGCTCTTGGGGTCAGTATCCCTGCCATCGCCAAAGAAGTGAATGATGACCTTTGGCACACCGACCTCTTTGGCCACCTGAAGAAGGCCAAACAAGTGGTTGATATGGCTATGCACACCGCCATCACTGATCAAACCGAGTAGATGTAGCCTGCCACTGCCGTTCTTCGCTCTGTTAAAACTCTCTTGGATAGTCTTGATCTTGTTCAATTCTCCCTTCTTGAGTGTCTGGTCAATCCGTACCACATCTTGCCAGACAACGCGGCCAGCACCAAGATTTAGATGTCCGACTTCAGAATTGCCCATCAGACCTTCAGGTAGCCCGACGGCAAGGGAAGAAGCTTCGAGCTCGGTGTAGCCTTGTGCGGTTTTAGAGCCTTCGGCAGCGAAGGAGTCCATGATAGGTGTCTCGGCGGCAGCGATGGCGTCGCCATTCTTGGGGGAAGTCTCGCTGGGAATGCCCCAGCCGTCTATGACAACTGTGAAGACGTCAGCAGCTGTTATCACAATGTCATGGAAGTGTGCGTACCTAGAACAGCTTTCTGGTCGACTTTAACCATTTTGTACCGGGACCGTTGAGGACAACACCGGAGCTTCTAGGTAGTCTATAAAAGTCTTCGTCTAGAGGCGAGAAAACAAAAGCATAACGAGGAAAGAAAGCTGGAAAATAAAGAAGACCGAGTGTGTTTCGTGTAGAGTGAAAATATTGAGCCCTGTTCATCACTTTATCCAATGCAAGCTAGGCGGGGTTGGAGGGGCAAGCTACAGTAAAAGATACGGGAAGGGACCCCCGACGTCATAAAACGCCAATGGGCAGGCATCATTCGCGCAGAGCGGACACGCAGTTCTAATTGAATTAGGTAGCCTCTACCGAACGGTTACATGAAACTGGTATCCAGATACACTTTACTCTACATGTTACATTAACCCATCCCAAAATCCAGCACAGCTCAGCCGAACATGCCAACAACCCCGAAACCCGCACTCACGCCCTCAACACCCTCCACCTCTACCGTCCCCTTTCCACCCCCGCAAACCTTCGATATCCTCCCTCAAATCTACGATCTAGTAACCCGTCTTCCCCACGCTTCTCTCGTCACGCAGACCACCACATCCACATCCACACCTCACCCCTCAACCACCGATCCCCTCGATCCCAAAGACCTACCTCAAGCCGCTGTACCAATCAAGCTCAAGATCCAAAAAGCCAAAGCCGCAGTGTCGACGTTGCCGGATGTGGAGCGGTCGATCGAGGAGCAGGAGGATGAAATACAGGAATTGCAGAAAAGGATTGGAAGGTTGAGGAGCGTGCTGGGGGAGTTGGGAAGGAGGGCTAGTGAAGGGAAACGGGAAGGAGATGTGAAGGGAGAGGCTGGGCTAATGGAGGGCATGGAGTAAGCGGACAGCACAGGTAGAGAACAGACATTGCGAGCACAGTGGACTACTTGAGCAAAAATTTCAGAGCCTTCATTGAATGGCTATCGACGCTGAAGCGTCCTCCACATCGTTGAAGATGGAGACGCCAATTTCCCATGAGTTGAATGCTTCCTCCACCAGGCCCAGCCCAAAGAACGCCAAAACCATAACAGACCCCCTGTTCAGACGAGAACGTCTAAACGGGCAATGGGAAGGAGCCAGCCCACTCGGCAATCTCCTTTCTCAAGCTTAAGATCTCCGGCACACTGTCATCGGCGACCTTCGCTTTGAAATCCTTCAGCTTGTTCGCCTCCTTTGGCAACGAACCCTGAACCTGCTTGCACAGGCTGATACATTGATCGATATAATATGCCACCCTCTCGAAGTCCTTCACTCCGAAACCGCGGGTCGTCATGGCCGGTGCACCAATTCGAATTCCGCAAGGTGTTAAAGCGGACTTGTCGCCTGGAATGCTGTTCTTGTTGCAGGCAATATTGACCTGTTCAAGAACTGCTTCTACGCGTGCGCCATCGAGAGACTTGTTGCGAAGGTCAAGAAGAACCATGTGGCTATCTGTTCCGTCGGCGACGAGCTTGTGACCAAGCCTTTTCAGCTCATGCTCAAGAGCTTTGGCATTGTCGATGACTTGTTGCTGGTATTGCTTGAATTCTGGTGTGGTGGCTTGTTTCAAGGCAACGGCAAGAGCTGTGATGGTGTGGTTATGAGGGCCGCCTTGGTGGCCGGGAAAGACAGAGAAGTTGATGGGACCTTCAAGATCATACATGAGCTGCTTTCCGGTCTTCGCGTCTGTCGACCGCACACCCTTTCTAAAAAAGATCATGGCACCTCGAGGACCACGCAAGCTCTTATGCGTGGTTGTTGTGACCACATCGGCATGCTCGAATGGAGATGGAATGACACCAGCAGCGATGAGACCAGAGATGTGAGCCATGTCCACGATCAGATATGCGCCAACCAGGTCAGCGATCTTACGCATGCGAGCATAGTCGATCAGGCGACAATAGGCGGAGGTGCCGGCAACTAAGCATTTGGGGCGGTACATCAAAGCATTTTGTTCAAGCTGATCATAATCGATTATGCCCGTCTCAAGGTTGACGCGATAGGGGAATGTTTCGAAGTAGGTTGAGACAGCAGAGATCCTACTCGTCTAGTCAGCTATAGTCCATCGTCGGCAGGCTTCAGGTAACCATGCTTCTTCTGAGGTGTTTGATATCCGTGACTCAAATGCCCCCCATGAGGTAGATCCAAGCCCATCAGTCGCTCATGTGGTCGCATCAAGGCCTGATAGACCTGCAGATTGGCAGGGCTGCCACTGAGACACTGCACATTGACACCCCACTGCTCCGAATCCAGGCTAAATGCTTTGAGCGCACGAGCTTGACATGTCAACTCAATGGTGTCAATGTGCTGATTGCCTCCATAGTATCGGGCGCCAGGGTAGCCTTCTGAATACTTGTTGGACATAGGAGAGCCAAGGGCGTCGAACACAGCACGGGAGGTAAAGTTCTCAGAGGCGATAAGGACGATCGACTCGCGCTGGCGTTGAATTTCCCTTTTCTAGTCCATGTCATCAATTACTGATCCAGTAGGCTAGATCTAACAGGGCCAATACCATTATCTCTGCCACCTCGGAGTCGGTCTCCACCAAGGACTTCTCCATGAGCTGGCAGGTCAATTAGTAAGGTGGGAAGCACAAATTAGTCGATCACGGTGACGTACGTCCTGGTGAGACTTGGGAAGAGCATATGCAGGCATTGCCATGGAACCCATCTTTCGAACAGTGATATTTTCAAAGTACAAAAACTCTTGACTGAGTATAATGAGTGAGCAGAAAATGCCACAAGTTGCGCAGTCAAAATCTCTGAGGGGCCCCGCGGTTTTCCTAGCTGCCGGGCGCCTAAACTTGCCACAGACCGGAGTGAGAAGCGCAGGCTGAGCCCCGATAAGAACCTAGTACGTATATTCAGGGGAGCGTCTTGGCAGGGGACTTCCATATTAATCGATAACGGGATAAAGAATGTTAGCTCCGAGCTAGTATTTTTTGTATTTTACGGAAGCTTACCGAAAAGCCACGCGGCCCCGATAGTATTAGCTTGTTTTTGATGAACAATCAGCCAATCCTCATCCAATTCCGCTAGCCATGCTTTCTGTACTACGTACGGAGTACATCTGAGACATTACCAAGATCATGTAGTAAAGCTACTACGTAGCTGCTACTACTAGTACTTTCACGCTTACATTCCTTATGTCTCATACCGTAGTACGAATGCCATGTTGGATACTGTAATACGGTGATTTTCAGCAAGTCTGAGCAGGTCTGACCTTGACTACCGCATTATGAGTACCTCATTTCTGGCAGAGCATAGAGCAAGCGAAAAGGGTTTGGTGATACAATGCGGACGCCAAAACCACGTTATGGCGACGGTTCCTCATGAGCTCTTTTCTTTTTCCTTTTCTCCTCCTTCGGTGTCGCCCGATGGTGGCTGACATCGTTCGTGTCTCTAAGCCTTTTTCTTGCTAGGACTTCAGCCTTTGAAGGTGTTTCTTGCACTACGCTACTTTCAGCAGGAGACTCGTCTACCTGCATGCGATCATCAATGATTCCATCTTCTTCTCTTGGATGAAGTCGTTTGTGCTTCTTCTTTCGCTTCGATGTGCTTTCCAGCAGTGAGGACGAAGGTTGTAACGTAGGGTTTGAACTGCCTTCTTTTACACCAAAATTCTCGCGGATGCTCGTGGAAGTAGACGGGCTATCATCTGTACCAAAGGGTTTGTACCGCATTCTGAGCATTTTTGGTTGTTCGCGAGGGGGTCTTGCTAAGGGCTGTTCCTTTGCAAAAAAGACGCTATCTTCGGTCGATTGTACGGCTTTAGAAGATGTGGACTGGGATTGATTTGGAATCTCTCGAAGATGATAGGACTTGGAAACATGCACTCTTGAGCGTTTGTAGCTGCTGCCGCCAACCTTTCCAGGAAGAAGTAAGTGCTGAGAGTCCTTATCGCCAAATGCAAGACCATACTGCCTGCTGTCGTACGTGAGGATTGGACGTCCACTTCTCACCACGTCCACATCAAAGTCTTCGATTGAGTTCAACGGTATCGATGTTGGCGCTGTGATATGCCAGATCTGCTTGCCAGTCAGAACTCCAGACACTGCTTCAAATCCCTCGGTAGTCGAATTCAATGCATTAGGCGGTAGCTCCTCAAAGCCATTAGGAGGTCGAAAGAGCTTTGCAGGGATTGCTACAGGGGTCTGGTTGGGCCTATTCAATCTGTCAGCCCCTTGTACCACATCTTTAGGCAAATGTCCTACAGAGATGCCGCTCTCTTCTTCTGAAGCTTTTGCTTTGCTGGGGCAGCGCCTTCTCTATCGGACTCTGTCTCAATTGACCCCGCCTTCGATGATGATGAAGATGTCTCAACACCGTTCTTCCCGTCGTTCGCAGGACTCTCGCTTCCAGATCTTTGTGCTGGGACAGTAGATTTGCTGGAGGGAGTGCCCTGGCTCTTCTGCTTCTTTTGGGAAGGCTTGCTGCCAATCTCATTGCTAGAATTCTTAGAATTGACCGATTCAGGCTGTGCTAGACCATCGCTGTCGCTATCAATCACGTATTCCTCGCTTAGTACCAAAGGCTTCCCTGAGTCTTTCTTCCTTGGCATAATGTGGTGTAAAGATGGTATGTTCTGGTGCTCACGAAAGCTTGGCACAGATTCCCGCTCTGTTTGTAGATGGTTTGTTTTGATGCACTTCAGAAATCAACACTCACGTTACCACCATCCTCTGCATATCAAATTGTGAATTTGGAGACTAGCAGCAAAACCGTTTCAGAGTAATTTTTGTTGCGGTAAGTCACTAGCGCCGGCAACTATATCACTTATCTCCCACCTGACGCACGGACCATGAGCTTGTTTTTGCTAACAGGACAAAAAAAGATGGAACAAGAACCCGCCCTCTCCACCTCCATGGGGACAGATGGTAAGCATTTCTCTATCCAGCGGTCGCCTTCCTAGATATTGTGCTGACTACAAATCACAGGAGGAAGAAGTGCCTTCGCCACTGTCCGTGGTAAGATTTATGCCCCAGAATCCCCGTCCGCATCTTCTTTGGGTAGCAGTGAAGATGTTCTCGGGTACAATGGGAATTCTTTCTTGGCTGTGTCTGACAATTCAGGCACCCTCCCCATCGCCCCCAAGTCTGTCGTCGAGCTCGGCAGTGACAGTGTGAGCGTGCGCCTCGAAAAGGGCGAGGTATTATCATTCAGTATTGGTGTCATTGTAGTATGCTGATGTTCTCAGAATGTGGTGGTGGTGGGCCTTTACTCCTTGTGGGTGAAACATGGCGAAGTGTCCCTGCTGGGCGCTTCTCTACAAGCATCAGCCACCCTCCATCATGTCTCCGTCCCTGTTATGCATTCAATTCCATCCATCACTGCGATTAGTGCTCTGGCAGAAGTGGTGATCTCCACGGATGATAATGGGATTCGCTACCTTGGAGATGTTGCACGCCACTTTTCCGCTATATGGGAACCTACCTTTCTTGGGACAATGATGTCCTTCCATGTGGTAAGCTTCTGTGACAATGATCATCAATGCGCGCTGCTGATGCTCCTCGATAGCTAGGCTACCATTCCAAGAACATTAAAGATGTGTCGAAAGAGCTCAGAGGTCTCACGCTTGAGCACTGGCTCCCCCCCATTCGTCAAATTCTCCGTGGTGGACGCAACACGATTCCAAGAGTCCTTGTCACTGGAGCCAAGGGGACTGGCAAGTCGACTCTGTGCCGTGTTTTCATCAACACATTATTGACTATGAGTATCCCCGGGAGCACGGTACCAACGAAAGCCTTTCCAGACGGCGTTCTTTTTCTTGATATCGACCCTGGACAGCCCGAGCTTTCGGCTCCAGGCATCATCTACCTTGCGCATGTGCACGTACCGTTGTTAGGTCCGTCCTTTACCAACTTGGTCATCCCTGACTCCACTGAAAACATCATGTTACGAATGCATTACCTTGGAGCCTATACGCCACGAGAGTCTCCATCCCATTACCAGGACTGCGTGTCGGATTTGTTGCGCCTGTATCGCGGCTACCCAAACTTCCCATTGATTATCAACACCTGTGGCTGGAATACGGGAGCTGGCAAGCACGTCCTTCTCTCTACCGTACGAGAAATAGTTCTGACAGATATTATCTACATTGGTGACACTCGCAATGCAACATTGCAAGAACTTATGGAGTCAGATGCTGGAGGTGAACACAAAGCTCTCACTCCACTACTGGCAGAAGCAAACAGAACTCCACTCAAATCCGGAAAAGATTTCCGAGAAATGCAATTGCAGGCTTATCTGCACGCTTTGGGGGTCGTCAATGGGCGCGTCTTGTTTGATCAAATTCCGCTCACAACAATTCGAGATGGCTTGCCTGCCAATGCAGGTGTATCATACAAGCTTTCCATGATTGTCATGCTTGACCAGAGCGTCAAACCTGAATATTTGGTCACCGCAGTAGATGGCTCAGTGGCGGCGATTGTTGTCATCAAGCACGGTTCTCCATTATACGGACTGGCGGCTGGGGCGCATACTCCCAATGGTCAGGTACCATATTTGGTCTATGGGAACAAGGTTGCAAATCCATTGGATCCTGAGACCACAGAGTGCATAGGTCTTGGTTACGTCACGGCGCCTATTTCAGAGCACAGACAGCTACGCATCAAATCTCCTGTCTCAGCAGCACATATCACATCACAAGCAGAGAAAGGCTACAAGATTGCTCTCGTTCTAGCGCAGCAGCAGGGTCTATGGGCGAACTTGGAGAGCATCCAGGCTTGCGAAAAGCGACCTTATCGACTGCAATCTCGGAGAAGAGAGACAACTATTGGTGGAGAGGGTGAATGTGCTGAGAGTTTACCTGCAAGCACAGAGGCGCTAGCTGAACCTGGACGGGAAGGGTTCTTCGACGAGCTTGAGAAGGCTGGCAAGCACAAAGTTTGATGAGTAAGTACCCCACAAAGAGCACAAGATGCTGCAAGATTAGGTTAAGGAAGCTAGCGGGGTGGTAGGGCTAGAATGGTAGGGCAATATCATGACGTGGCGGAGACGTGCGCATACAGCGAGCCGGCCTGTGGTGGATGATTTGATTGCTCTGACACCCGAGGCAACACGTGGCAGCCATCTATCACCCCGTTGTGGGATTAGGAAGGGCGGCTGCCTTGCTGATAGGGCAGATGGAACAGTCATGATAGCAACCAGAATACCTTCTGTCTTCCTATACAGCTCCCCTCAGTGTGATATCCAACCATCCTCCCTCTCCGTCTTATCGCTCTCCTGTACAAAGATGGAGACGACTTGATATTCCACATAATGGATGCAGCCCCTGCATCATGCCACCCTCCAGCTCTGCAGGCAGCCCCTTATCCCCTCCTAGACAGACAGCAAGCAGTCCCGTTCGAGAATACACCAGTGACACGCACAGCTGTCAATTGTTAGTATGTCAACCACTCTACCTCGCGCTGTCGGGCATGGAAAGCAGCCAATCCTGTTGTCGGCGGGGACGGGCCATGTCCACGGCATTATTAATTTATTATTGAGGATGCCACATGGTGCGGCTGAGGGAAATCTAGTCCCGCCTCGCCTGGCTCGTCAAGCCTATCAAGCCTCTCAACCAATCTTCGTCGGGCGAGTTCGCTCCAGAATTCGCTCCATTATTTGTTATGCAAGCAGCAACTCTTCATTCCCACCACTCCTACTCCGTACTACTCCTACCACCACCGGGCCACCCGCTTCTACCCTTCAGCCACTCACTTCATATCCGAGGAATGAGGCTTGCTGAGCCTGCTTCACCTTCTTTTGAATTATTTCTTGTGCACGACCAAGGAGAAACTGCGGCAGCCAACCCCGATTGATCGTCACAATATCGTCAGGGCGGTGAGGGCTATCGCAAACTTTACTTACTCACCATCCTTTCTTTCGCATCCCGCTCTGCATACCACCAGCACCAAACGGCCCCCTTTAGTCACGCATTACTGGACCATATATCGGGAGACGCTCAGGAAACACTTAACAACCCCTGAGCATCTCTTCTTCTAATATGTATCCTTGAGCATCGCCCTGCGCCATGCTACATCATGTCGCAGCATGTTGCACATGCTATCCTAGCTGAACTAATTTTCGAGCAACTTCGGCCATAATCATAATCTGGCAAGATGGATTTCATCGTGAGTCGTATCTTGTCACTTGAGTCGGAGTTGCGAGAGCCCTCAGCAGGGTGTCATCTACTTCAACGCGGCTATGGCATTGCGCTGACATTTGGCGCTTCCGCAGCTCTCCCTGACCCATTTCTGCGAAATGCATGGCCCGAAATCAGTCCTCTGCACCCAAGTCCTACCCCTTGAATGCGCACAATGCCTGTCTCCACCTCCGCTGTTACACCCGTCATCATCGTCTACATCGCTCGCGACGCAAATTCATGAATCTGGCCAGTCGGGTCAGCTCCCCCGGCCACCTAGCTTGCACAAAACCGATGCTGGCATCTCCCTGCCGACCAACTTCTCTGGCGCGTCCACAACCGTCGACTCGGCACCCGAAAGCCCCACTATAGAACGGCATGAGCTATTCATGCCCAGTGATAAACTGACTGATCAAGCCAAACGCTTCAAATTCAGCGGTGCGCAAGGAGACACATGTGCTAGCTGCAGCTTGGTGGTTCCAGAGGATATCACGAGAAAGCTTCCAGACGGTGCGCCCGGTAGCTTGAAGGCAGACGGCAAGAGCAAGAATGGCGCTCCTGTACTTCGATCGCGGGAGGTTGTCTGTCTAGGCTCTGGTGACCATTCTGCGCCAAACGAGGAACCGAGGCTTTCCAGTTCGCACAACTCCAGCGAAGGCTCAGATGGGGCTTCTTCGCTGCGTTCTTGCGGCTCGCTTTTCTCCACCTGTCATGATCACCTGCTAACATATCTCACGTCGCGAGATCTTGACGATCCAGACCGCTTCTCTGCCCTTCGAGCGTCCGTTATCCGAACACTGTCACGTGAGTTGCTCCCTGCCGGAATGTCTGACGGCCCTTTCTGCTTCGGAGATTCGACCAATGGTTACACAATTGCCTACGTGTTCCGTCTTCCTGATCCCAAGGCTCGAGGTCGTCGACGCCTCTATGCCTTCGTGGCCCTGGCCGGCAATGATGCAAGTCGAGCCTTCCGTGCTTGTCCATTGGTATGGGAAGCTTTTTCGAAAATGGCCCAGTCCATTGAGGCTGCCGCAGTTGAATCCCAAGAGGCGCAGAGGAAGAAAGATGAAGAGGAACAAGAAGCTGGCAGGGCACGCAACTACACTCCGGTATCGTCATTCCTGGTTCAGCGAGCCGTTGATCCCGACGGAAATCCAAGAAAGGCAGGACAGATCGCAGCGAGGAGTCTAGCGGATATTGTGGGTAACGACAAAATCTTTTCTGAGATCCATTCTTATTTCGTGTCTCTTCTACACCATCTCGGCGCCCTGTACGGTGGATTGCCGTTATCCGAGACTAACGCAGTCTGTCAAACCACCGTGCAAGAAGACGGATTGGACTTGAGAGCAAGACCGCAGAGTGTTCACACAGCGGGCTTCAAGACCAAGGACGTTGAAAAACTCCGCGACCAAGATGCAACACCAAGACCGAACTCAGGTGATGCGACCACGACGAAGATCAGTCCATCAGTTACTCAGTGCGCTCCAATCCCAATCGACCAGCCTGCTCAACGACGGGTGGTTGTCTAAGACGTCTCTCTACTTCCCACCCACAAAGCCTCCTGCCCCATACGCAGGCTTGTACGATAATCGAGCTCTCAACGGCAGAAGCCTGATTACATGACTAGGACTGTTCAACATACACCATGAAGACGATGAATGAGGAAGCACGGCAGCCGAAGCCGGCAACCGCCGGCCTGCCTTTACTTTGACTATTGACGACCAGAGAACTTTGCTTTCAAAGATATCCACCTAGACCTTTTTTGCCATCCGTCTGTTCGTGGCTACGACGAGGATGATGACCCCGGGTATTAGCTCGACAATTACGTTTCTCTCTTTTTCCTTTCTATGGGCTCTGCTTTGTGCTTCAGCTAGCAATCGCTGCAGCAAAGGGGTTCGTAATCGGCGTTTATTTATTTACACGATGAGCTTTGCATGTTTTTGATGTCGGCGGAGGCTTGTGAAGCTCAAGGATTCTGGGCTGCTGGCGCTTCACTTACCATTATTGTTGTTGTACAACCAGGCAGCGGGGTCGGGTTAGTTTTTTAGTGCTAATGGGCGTCGGTCATGTCTGAAGCTGGCAAGAGATGCCAGATTCGCATCATCCATCATAGATTAGTCACTGCAAGGAATTGATTTTCGTTATGGAACCTGGTCCGTCTCGTGTTGGCCCGTCTCTCGCCCCGTGTCATGGTCTAAGAAACGCGTACAACGTGCGGCTGAGTAGGATCTTCACCTCTCTTCCTCCACTCCCCCTGTCATCAAGGCTGGAGAGAAACCTTCGAGCTTGTTACGATGCTAACCATCGCGTGTAGCCGATGTCGATCTGTTCCCCATCCAAGCTGGAAAGTGACCAGGGACCAGGATCAGGGCCAGAATTGGATCTCCTCCTCCTCTTCTCCATCCGACCTCTTTCTCATCACCATCAATATTCTAATTTATCGCACACACAGAGAGAGATGAGGAAGAGCATCAGTGATCCGTGGGAGTGGGGTTCACCCGGATTTATAGGTCATAAATCCGGGCTTTAACGGCTGGGGAGATGGGTTAGCTAAGCAGGTGGGTAATAACTACTAACTTAGTAGTCAAACCCCCATCCCACCATTGGATAGGTAGATAGCACGGTGGGATATAGACTGGGGTCTGGTAAACATCAACCTGGGCCATGATTCGGTGGAGAAGAGCCGGTATGCCGATGACCTGCTTGCGAGCGCATAGCAACTAAGTTAGTAGTTAGCCAGATCTGATAGAACATTGGGGTTTTGTGCATGAGCAGCAACTCCACAAGACGGCTGGAGGGGCGGTAGGCACCACGCCGGGCATGGATGCACAGCGCTTGGATGCTTATAATCTGCTCCTCTCTAGCTTCACCAATGCACCGCCATCGACCGCATAATCCCTCCCTCTTTTCCACCCGACCCACTGCCCCAGCATCTCCTCTCCACCTGCACCCGGCCTCAGCGGCTCTGGCACCCACTGATGCTTCGGCTCCCGCCCAGGGGATTCGCTCAGCCCGACCATGGCTCTCTGCTCGTACCCCTGCTCCTCCAATTCCTTCATCTCCAACACAGGCGTGACGCATGCATCCTTCCCATCGAAGATCTCTTCCCATTCGCGTCTTGTCTTCTGCTTGAATCTCTTCTCCAACACATCTTTCATGAACGGCCAATTCCGCTTATCGTTCCGTCCTCGCTCAAGCCCATCCAGAGGCAGTACTTCCCTCTCCGTCAGCCCCATCCCCTGCAGCAGCTGCTCAAAGAACTGCGGCTCCAACGCGCCCACCGCCACAAATCGCCCCTCATCCTTCGTCTCATAACACCGATAGAACGGCGCACCGCCATCCAACAGATTCCTTCCTCTTTCATCATCCCACATCCGCGTTTTCATGGCCAACCTCGCAAACGTGCCGAGAAAACTCACGCCGTCCACCATGTTCGCCTCGACCACTTGCCCTGTTCCACTAACACCCCTGCGCAGTAGCGCGAGGAGAATGCCAGTAAAAGCGACCAGGCCGCCTCCGGCAAAGTCAGCGAGGATGTTACCTGGTGGTTGTGGAGGCTGGACAGCTGGGCCGCCTAGAAGGGAGAGAATCCCCGAGACGGCGAGGTAGTTTATGTCGTGCCCAGCCATGGAGGGAAGCCGGTGAGGCGGGCGATGATTAGTCGAGGGTTGTGTTTAAGGAGGACGGTTTCCGGGTCCAGATGTAGGTTTTCTAGAACGCCCGGGCGGAAGGGATCGATG